TGCTCAAATTAAGAAGTCGTAGAAATGCTCAAATTAAGAAGCCGTAGAAATGCTCAAATTAAGAAGCCGTAGAAATGCTCAAATTTAAGAAGCCATAGAAATACAAAAACATTATGAAGCCATAGAAATGCTTAAATTTAAGAAGCCATAAAAAATCAAAAACATTATGAAGCCATAGAAATACACAAACATTATGAAGCATTATGTAATATATTGTAAAATAGTATTATATTCGCACCATTTTCTATTTAACGACATCTTTTTTATAATATTAATACAATATAAACCTAAGAATGTTTTGTCTTGTGAAAATAAACAACAACATTTGAATCTCTTAAATATTTATCATGATAAATTTACACTGTTTTATAAAATAATTATATTTATCAATGCTAGTTTGTGTTTAAATTGTCAATTGTTGATGTTAGTAAAAAATGTGGCATTTATACTTAATCTGATTTTATTCTTCATTAATATTTAATATAATACATATTTTAGTTGTTGGACATGATATCATATTATAGAAGTATTGGTTAAAAAAATTCTATGAGAATACATTAATAATCAAATATTTCTTAAAATCGGAAATGTCGCATGTACAATTTTAAATTAATTAATAGACCTTCCTATTGCGTACTATTTTATTAAAAATCAGTAAAATGGATTCTATAAAAATTGCAAGTTTGACAGAAGGTCAATATTTAAATTTTTCCAAAAATATCTAAATGTTATTATTTTTTTACATTTGTAGTGAATTCTTTAAACAGTTGAAGTAGTAATAAATTATATGAAATAATAATATATTTACCTACTTTTAACGCAGTGTGATCATAACAATAATCAAGATTAGAAAAAATTATCTCTCATAGATATCCTTATTTGAATATACTTAACTAATCACAAGGTAATTTGTCAAGGATTACTATTAAAAGTGAAAATATAAAAAAATTATTTTTGTTATTTTTAGTATACTACGAGTGTTTTTATTTAATCTCTGTAAATGCATTGACACTTTTCTGATGAGTATAAATGAAAAAAAAATATTTGTATAATAATTTTTATAGTATTTATTCAATAATTATAAAACTTTGGTTTGCAGTACCCACCAAAAAATCATGAAGATATAAAGATAGCTCTCGAACACGTAAGCAAAGGTGCTACAGACATTATTCTTAAATTACTGGAAACAAATCCACAACATAGATTGAAGTCTCTACGTCATGCTAAATTTCAAACATTTTTCCATGGTTTTGATTTCTCTGATGTCACTTCAAAAAAAGTATGAATAAATAATATATTCTCTTTCATATAGGTGAATCTTAATATTTTATTTTTTAGTCTTACCCTCTTGAATAGTTTCAATATGTATAAAATAAAGAATAAAAAATTTTTAGTCAATTAATTAAGTTTAACCTGTGTGCATGTCCCATAAAGATATAAAATGTATTTTATCAAATAAACCATGTTTTTCAATGTTCTTTACCAATATACCATTGAACATATTTTCATTAAACGTAATATTATCTACAATAATTAATTAAGAAATCATAAATTATATTACACCAAAACAATAGTTTTTTAATACCCTTCTAAATTTTACTTACTAAATTATTGTTCTAGAATATGACATTTTAAGATTATAAATAAACATAAACAATAATGATAAGTAATACTGCTATAAATAAACTATACCTTAAAAGCGATAATAAAAATGTATAACTTTCCATATTATTTAATATAACAAACGATTTGTGTGCTACTGTCTGTGTTGTTAATTATAATACTGATAATATGTATAATAACTTAATAAAAAAAGTAGTACAAAAGATAGTGTAAGCCTTAGAATTTCTTTCGTACTGTAAAGTAATACCTTATACTGTTAAGTATTATATATCTTAAAAAAAAAAAATTATTTTTCTACATCAATATCAAATGTAGTCCTTCGTAATCAATACAAAATTGTTTTAATGGATAGTGACTAATCAAACTAGGAAATAAATTACATTTATTTTTAAAGTTGCTTACTTGATTTTCGTGTATTAATTTTCAATTTGCATAAAATCTTAACTTACGTAAGTGTAGTAAACTTTTGTCATTCAAAAGATCACTATAGTTTATCAAAATATGCGAATTCCAGATAGATAAGTTTACAATAGTATAAAAAGTTTGAATTATTTTATGAAGAATAGAGAACTTTACAGAAATAAGCATCACGGGAAACGGAAATGAATAAAAAAAACTCATTTCGTTGAGGGGTTAGATAACCTTTTCGATATTGTACAAAATTATGTATTAAATTTGGTTAAAATTAACTTAGATTGGCAATTTTTAGTATCTTCAAAAAACAGAATTAATTGTATTGCTTGGCACAGAAAAAATGTATAAAAAGCTGAAGAAAAAAACAGAAAAACAATTGGAAATAGAGTTAAAAAGAAAGAAAGAAGCTTATAAAGGAATTGTCAATTGAAATTTGAATTTTGAATCAATTAATTAAAATTATTACATTGATTTAATTTATTTTAGAACATACTTGTAACAGTTAAAACTATCAGCTCTAAATTCTGATAGCGATAATGATATTGATGAAACTGCATTATGAAATTGTAAAATAAGTGATGTCTGCAACTGTTGAAGCTTATGATATCGACGTAAGTAATTTAATTATGGACCGAACATCTATTAATAAATATACCAACACTTACGGAAGGATAGAGCAGATAAACTTTGAAACGAATACGATACATTAAAAGTAGGCCCTATTGTAAATAATTTAGATAGGAAGCTGCTCCTACATTTTACAGGAAAAAACTTGTTAATCTTTACCAATAGTTGTTTCTTTTAAAAATTCAGTAATACTTTTAAGCATACCTAAGCTAATGTTCTAAACTGGAAAAAATTGAGAAGAAGTGGTGGTTTAAGCATTTGAACTCTTGTCAAAAATATACAAGTTGTACGTTGCTTTAAAACAGCTTAAAACACGGGTCGTCTAATAGTTTCGTGTTTAATTTTTAAATATTCATTAAAACGTGTTGTCGTTTACTGCTATATATTGGTTAAAAATCAATAATAATATTGCTTTATTATCTCCTTCTTAAACAATTAATTTTTTGAAAAGTCTTATTGATTATCAAAATATAGATAAAAATATATCTCTATAAAAAAAAATATGTGCACATTTGTAGTACTTAATCCCTGAAACATCATCGCTGGAATTTGTTGAATTAATTAAACAATTGAAATTAACACTAAAATTGTTGAAATTATAAAATTACACAACATTTCTGATATTAGTAAAAGTATTAATGTTCCATATAATGAAGTATTCAATTCGAGGAAAATGAAATATATGATTTTATTTTTGTTGCCAATATCAATTTGTAGAATGAAAACGAAAAATGTCATAAATGTCTTGAAATTGTTAGTATACTTCGTGTGTTGATTACACGACGAAAAGAGGAGTTAACCCTATGTAGGATTTCAATACAATTAAAAAAAAAAAAAATGATAATAAAACCAGTTTTTTCATCAAGTTGTAAAAGATTATCGTCAAAAGTATTTCAATAATTTGAAATCAATGATTTTAAAACCATTCTTATTTTTAAATAGTTTAACTTTTTTTTAAATTAAATTTATTTAACTGATGTTTATAAAATTTAACTCACAATTAATGATTATGATTAATTATTCACATATATTATAACTATACAATTAAATTATTCGTTTTTAAATTATAAACTAAATATTTTGAAATAAATAATTTTTAGTTGAAAATTATTTAATCTGTACTCTACCATCTTAATTATTTAATAGAAAAATACATAATAAATAATTATGTGAAATAAAAAATGTTGGATTTCCGACCATCTCCGCGAATCATTAGGATCGAACCTTAAGTCAGTCATAACACTTCTGCAATTGATTGAAGAGACCAAGCTAAAGAAATATAATGTAGATTTGTAGATTTTGGTACTATAAAATTTAAAATTATAAAATTTTATATAAATAAGTTGAAATTAAATCAAAAATTTAAAAAACATGAATAATTTAGAAAAAAGATATCTTTAAGGACTAAGGGTTCCGGGTTAAACTTAACCAATCGTCTCGAAGTTTTTTATACTTTATTTTTATAAATTTATGATCCGATTTCGGAAGTAATATTAATAAAAATCTAATATTGAAAATTAAGAATCACCCTAGTAAAAAAACTAACGAAATTCTTTGTAAGGAAATGCGATAATAATATTATATATTATTATTAAACAAAATTTTTGTTTTCAGATTAAACCTAATGAATTACTCAAACAGTTAATCCTTAAAATACCTTGTCAAAATGACAACAAAGTAGTTCATTTTGAAGAATTTGACTAAAATTAGAATGTGATTTTCAAGTCTATCAATCTAAAATATATTTTTAAATTAATTGTGTTAATTTGTAATTACTTATATTGTATAAAAAATTACTGTGATGAACGTTGAAAATTTTATGGATGTTAGTGGATAAAATTATTATTTTGTCATAAATATACCAATTCAACTAAATCATTGTTTTTTTTTAATAAATATGTATAAATGTATGATAAATAAGAATGCATTTATAAACTTTGTTTGAGGCACTCTAAAGAAACTCAAAATAAAATAGAAGGCCACTAAATAAAGTACGCAGTTGTGTTTCTAAAAAACACAATTATTCAAATAAACAATGACGTATAGAAAAAACAAGTGACAGTACTTTCGATGATGACTGTCAAACAAACTTATTTAATGAACTATTAAATTAACCTAAATTTTTTGTTGTTCAATGTAATACACTCCATGAACAACAAAGAAATAATATAGAATACTGTGAACTTAGATTCCCTTGGTAATGCGTCAAAAGTCTCCCCGTAAGTTGAATTCACTTAGATTTATACAGAATGATATTTTCATGATAATCTACTTAATTATTCGCAGTATAAAAAATATTTTGGAATTTTCNTGTAATACACTCCATGAACAACAAAGAAATAATATAGAATACTGTGAACTTAGATTCCCTTGGTAATGCGTCAAAAGTCTCTCCGTAAGTTGAATTCACTTAGATTTATACAGAATAATATTTTCATCATAATCTACTTAATTATTCGCAGTATAAAAAATATTTTGGAATTTTCTTTTTTCTTTTAGTTTTATAATGTTATTTAATAATTAGTTTTGTTTTTTAAATGGGAACACTTATTAAAAATCAAATGAAACGTTTTAAGTTTTTTTTTGTAAGAAATGACGTTTATATATTTAATATAACTTCATCTATTTATTATATATAACACTTGAGAGTTTCGAGTTTTTAAATTAAAATACATGTTTAATAGTAGAGTTATTATACTAATTGCTAATTTCTTTTTTAAGACTTCGCTATTCACATCGTTTATTGTAAACTATAACTTTATTGACAGATATGCATTCTGTTTTGCTGGTTGGTGTATTTATAAATATAACTCATAACATTGTGCCTTATAAAACACCATACTTTGGTGTTCTTACATGGCTAATAATTCAAAAACAATATGTAACCTAATGTAACAAAAAATTCAAAATTATTTTTATTATGTAAGTAATTGAGTGCGTTATGGTAAAAAAAATCTGTATACTATTGAACTATGTGTATGCGAATACATACTATTAAATTTGTTAAAGTCTAAACAAATCTATGTTTAAAACAAAAATACACAATGCATATTTAGCTGTATTCATTGTTATTACTACGCAGCTAATAGCACCGATATCAAATTTTACATGTATTGTATATTAAAAAATAAATCACAGGGACACCATCAAAACCTCTTAATTTTTTACTCATTCCATATTTAAGTATCTTTTTCGCGAGATTATAGACATTCATTGACATTTGTATGTTTTCTAATATACCTCTCGCACCTAATACATGTAATATACAAACAATACATGAATATAGGCGCCACTGAATTAAACATTATTATTTTTATATCTATATTTTATTATCTTCTTGCTAGCAAACTACAAAGTAATTCGATGGAAAAATAACAATAGTTCATGTTTATAATTATGATTCGAATTATCTATTTTTAAATCAACGTGTATCAATATTTATAGGAATATACTAACATAATATAAGACAATTTTATATAATTTTTATACATGTAATATTGATTTATGGTATACAAATCGTATTTATTAGTATAGTATCTTATTTTCATGTGTGTTTTCATGCGTGTTACTCACATTTATGTTTTTCTTATTTTCATAAAAACTTGCTAAATTTATTAGATCCAAAAATAAACCCAGCACATTCAAAATACAACACAGTTGATACAGGCATAGAGGAGCATTATGGATCAAATTTAACAATGATTAAAATTATTATCATAAAATGCATTTCTACGATTATTAGATACAAAAGATAGGCATTTTTCTAAATTATTTTGTTGAGAGAGAGGCTATTTTTAAAAAATAGGGTTCTTATCCCCTCTTTCTTATATAATTATATTGTTTGATTTTAAGTATAAGCATTTATAATTAAAAAAAATTAAAATAAAAAGTTATAATATTAAAAGCAGTAATTTTTTACCCAAAACTAAATATTTTCATGTAAATTCAGGGACCGTTTTCATAAAGCAATGTATCTTCAAAACTAGATATAGACATTACCCTCAAAATTTGAAAAATTTACCATTGGTAAATAGAGGGAATCTCTCAAAAATTATCTTCTTTTTTTCCTGGCCTTAATTCCAACTACTCGGGATCGGCCACCCTTATCCTAAACTTCCACTCAATATCTTCTCCATCTTATCCACGATCTTATCCTATCTTCTCTAATCACTACACTTATTCATCTAAGCATTATGAACATCCTGAACCATACATCATAGCTGGTCTCACTACAGTCTTATAGAATTTACCTTTCAGCCTCATTGGAATTCTTTTATTGCATAACACACCAAATGCTTCTCTCCACTTTAAACACCCGCATTTAATCCTGTGTCTTACATCCTCGTCAATATAACTGTTCTTTTGCATAACTGATCCTAAATACTTAAAACTTTCAACCACTCCTATCATGTCCTCGCCTATTGTCACCGAACTCCTCATTTCACTTACCTCATGTTCTCCTTTGTCAAACTCATACTCTGTCTTACTCTTACTTATTCTTAAACCCTTTTCTTCAAGAGCTGATATTCACACCTCTAGCCTATGTTTAATTTCTTCCTTATTAACATTATAATTCCTATTAACATTATATGGTCAGCGAACAACATGCACCACGGTACCTCTCCTTGTATTTCTCTAGTGATTTCATCCATAAGTAAGTACTTGAAACAGAACCTTGGTGCACTTCTACTTTTATCCTAAAACCTGCTTCTCCTCCTACACTTTTTACCCCGGTACAAATGCTATCATACTTATCCTCTATTATATTATATTTAACCTCAGTCGGTTTTCTATCATACACTTTATCCAAATCTATAAATAGTATACACAGCTTTTTCTTCTATTTCTTAAACTTTTTTATTAGTTGCCTAACATAAAATAATGGATCCATTATTGACTCACTAGGCATAAATCCAAACTGGTTTTTAGATGTTAATGTCACATTTCTTATTCTCTTATCTATTACTTATTTTCAAATTTTCATACTATGACTCTATCATTACTATTATTGTTTATTTACACTATTTTTATTTATAATTATTTACCATGTACATATTTAATATTTTTTTCCTATTCTAATATTACACTAACACTGTAAATGTATTCTTTAAAGGGTTCTTGTACCCATTAAAAATTAAAATAAAATAATCAAATAAAAAACGATAGCACAGTGGAGTCGTGGCATAGTTGGAATAAGTACAAATAATATCTGGCAGTAATTAAAATCACTATCAGAAGAAACGCTACGATCCAAATCTGTTGATTTAATTATAATTAATTTTAAGAAATTGGTGAATTATTCCAAAAGCATAATTACCTCCTATTTTTTGTTCAACTTCGATTGCCATTTGTACATAGAAGATATGTCATCGAGACAATTTGTTTTTCATATTAAAATATATTACATAAGCTTTGATTTAAGATATATATAAAAGTGTCAATATATCCGGAACACTTTCAAAAGTTAAGTTGCAAAAGCTAATATTTTGTGAAAGAGTTATCGATTTTAATCCCCCACTATGAGCAGATAAAGGGTCAGATTTACAAAAAAAATATACAAAATGATAGGTGAATACCTTATGTTTCTTTAAAAAGAAAATTGTGTCTATTCATCTATTTTTCAATAGTTATGACAGTTTTAAGTAAAAAAAATGTCAAAAATTATCGATTTTTAAAATTGTAAATTTTTTGGAGATTTCCTTCATTTACGGGGAATGAGGGAAAATTTTTTTAATTATTGATGGTAATATCTTCGATTAGATATTCATATTAATACATTAGCAACAGTGATAATAATATCAATGTGTTTGGTAATAATAGAGTGTTGTTGATACAACCGCATTTCTCACAAGTTATGTTATAAAACTAGTTGATAATATTAGGTACCCATTTAACTTTCGAAAGTTACCTCTAAAATCTACCTTAATAAATAATGTATGTTTTAATACGCAATTCACATTTGTCATTCCTAAATACTTTTTGGTGAAACTTCTATCTTCGACGCGAAGTTGAAGGTATTGGTTTTACTATGATATGCTTTCTTTTTTTTTGTGTCTGTTACCACTTTTTCTCAGCTGTCACCGGACCGATTTCTTTCAACGATTAGTCCAAAGATCACAAATCATAACTAGTCGAAGACATTACCCTCAAAATTTGAAAACATTTCCCTCGTTCCCCGTAAATGGAGGAAATCTCCAAAAAAATTCCAAATTAAAAAATCGCTAATTTTCGACATTTTTTCAATTTTTTTTACTTAAAACTGTCATAACTTTTATAAAAATGACCAAATCAATATAATTTTTTTTTATAGATGCATAATGTCTTTATCTATTATTTAGTATACATTTTTTTATAAATTTGACCCTTTACCTGCCCACAAGGAAGGATTCCAAATGGCAACTTTTTCAACTTTTTAAAATGTTTCGGAAATACTGACACTTTTTATATATATATCTTAAATTAAAGCTAATGTAATATAATTTATTATGGAAAAATAAATTTCGGACTTTATTGTGACTTCAAGGTGAAAATAGTTATCAAATGCTATTTTTGTGTGAAAATTCTCGATTTTATTTTTCACATTTTTAACTTTGTACGGGCCGGGGGTATTAAATAGTAATATACTTTACCCGGTCACTACGCCCTTTTTACCAACGGTCCGGTTTCTTGGTATACCACTCCAAGGCTGACCAACCTGTTAGTGTGTAGTGTGGTAATAGAATTACTGGAGGTGTGAGTGGTCGCCTAAGCAAAACCAGTGATCTATGTAGTGCTCAAGTGTGTACTGTGTGTATATATGTTTTGTATATACTCTTAAACTAAATAAATAAATAATTCAAAAGGTTATAATAATCAATAACAAAATATATAATAATAAACAATAATACACAATAAATGATAATAGCTTATACTTATAAAAAAAAAAAGGGTAGCCCTTCTGGCTCAACAGTAGTAAATATCAACTCACAAATCAGTAGTATATATTAGAGCTATAGACCTTATAACAAATAAACGATAATAACTATAACTCCTTCAATAAATAATCAAGATAAAACTAAAATGGTAATAAAACCTTTAATGTAGTAACAAGAAATGACTAGATATCTACTATAGTGATAGGACATTGAACAGACAAAAAAAAAAAGAAAAACACATTAAATTAATAGAAAAAAAATAATTTATCTACAATTCACTAATCACCCTTATGGCTTTTAACAATACTATATTCTCAAGACTTTTATGGTCATGGAGCGCTCAGCCATATGCTAGCAATAGGATAAATATTTTACTAAATTCTGTTCAATAAATCACAATCAATACGAGCAAAACTAGACACTCAATGAACAAAATTAAATAAATACACAAACAACTACTTACAAAACTTTAGTTGGGTAGTTGCTTCTAACGCAAAAATAAAACATAAACTATAATGCTATAACTTATTAAAAAGTGTATGGATCAACACAATTTTTTTATGATAAATAATATTTATGTCCCTTTTTCATTCGACATACTTTACCTTAATTAGGATATATATAAGGAAATAGCAGATCATGTAGTTTTTGGAATAATTCACCAATTTTTTAAAATTAAACACTATATATAGATTTGTATTGAAGCGTTAATATGATAGTCATTTTAATCACTGTTAAGTCTCATTATACTTGATCTAACTATTCCATGTCATCACTGTGCCACGACCCCCCTGTGCTGGGTTTTTTTATACTGATAAATGATAATTGTGTCGAAAAAAATGTAGGATCATATAATATTTTTATTTTCGACTTTATTGAGTATATTTTTTATTACTTGAACAGCTAATAACCGCAATATGTATGTTTTAGTATCGATTATTCTTTTTTATTTTTAATGCGAAGTTGGAAGGTATTAATTTTACTATGATGTGGTTTTTTATTTTTTGTCTATAGAAACAAATGCTAGATCTTCCTGCAACAATTTTGTTCATTGATATGGCAAAAAATCACAAATTTTATTTAGTTAAACTTAACATCGAAAAAATTTGAAAAAAATTTCTCCGTTACCCGTAATTATGAGAAAATTCTAAAAGATTACGTTTTTTGAAATTAAACTAATTTTGATCTCTGGACTAGATTTTGTTGGGCGACGGCTACTATTTAAAAAAAACGGCACTCAGTGGGATTGCATCACTAAGATACGTCCATCTTAGTTAGACAAGTATAGATGATATCTGACAGTGATTAAAATCACTATCATAAAAAACGCTTCCGTGCAAATCTGTAAATAATGTTTAATTTTAAAAAATTGGTTGATTATTCCAAAAGCTACATGATCTCCTAATTCCTTATTTATCTCCTGATTACAAGTTTTATGATTTATAAGTGTAATATATGAATTAATATATAAAGGTAAATGGTTTTATTTAAAAAAAAGTATATATAGAAGTAAAAAAATAGTATTGATCAATACATTTTTCAAAAAATTATAGCATTATACAGTTAAAAATTTAAACAAGAGTTTTTTTACAAAAATCGTATTTTTTTTATAAACTTTGATGTTTGTTTTCTCCGTGAAGACAAAATAAATTCCGAATTTTTTTTTTTTCCATAATAAATTATATTACATTAGATTTAATTTAAGATTTATATAAAAGTGTCAGTATTTCCGAAACACTTTCAAAAGTTGAAAAAGTTAATATTTTGTGAAAAAGTTGTCATTTTGAATACTTTCCTATGGGGAGGTAAAGGGTCAAATTAAAATTATATATATACTAAATGATAGGTAAAAACATTATGCATCTATAAAAAAAATTATATTGATATAATTATTATTGAAAAAGTTATGGCAATTTTATGTAAAAAATGTCGAAAATTAGCGATTTTTAAATTTGTAATTTTTTGGGGGATTCCCTCCATTTACGGGGAACGAGGGAAATTTTTTCAAATTTGGGAATAATGTCTCCGACTAGATACGATTTGTGATCTTTGGACTAATCGTTGAAAGAAATCAGTTCGGTGAGAGCTGAGAAAAAGTGGTAACAGACACAAAAAAAAAAAAAGCACATCATAGTAAAACCAATACCTTCTCAGCTTCGCGTCGAAGCTAAAAAACGCCTTGATATAAATCTGTAAATAGTGTTTAATTCTAAGAAATTGGTGTATTTTCCTTATTATGTTTAATTTATAAGAATGATATATGAATAAATAATAATTATAGTTATTAATTTTGGTATGAAATTGTTATTCAATAATTTAATATTATAATTTTTACAGAGAAATTACAAACAATTATAAAGTAATTGTCTATGTTGTTATTTTTTTTAGCAAACTTATATAACTATTAAAAGTCTTTGGGCAAAACTTCTTAGAAAATATATTTTTCTTAATTATGAATAAATACACTGATATACGAGTAATTTTTATTTGAAACCAGAATATACTTTTCTAAACCGATTTTCTGCAATTAGATTTTTTCTATAAACTCTAGTTTTTGATATTATCATTAGTTAGTATAACACAAAAAAAATGTTATTTAGACAAGTTTTCATGATTATTTTTATAATTATTTTTTTTTTTGCACTTATTTAAATTAAACTTGTGTTTAATTTAAATTTTAGCATTAATTATGCTGTAAGATTTTAATCGATTCACTATGCAGAACTGGATTTTATTTAATATACATAATATGGATGTGTTTCACATATTTCTTATTATACAAATAGTTCTATTTATTTCCCTAAATTAAAAGTCATATTTTTTTTTACAATCCTTTGTATAAATATACACATTAAAATTATAATGATCATGTATCACATAAGACATTAAAATTAGATTAAATTAAATGAAGAATTTTAGTATAAAATCTTAAGAGATCAATATTACTATATATGTGCTCCAAGAGGTTTTAACATCTTTAATAACTTTTGATCCAGCAAATATTTTGCGTTCCTTCCTTTTTTTTAATAATTTCTATATTTTTGGACTATGTGAAAGCATATTTTTTATTTTATACTGTACTGTTTGGTTACAGTTTATATATTAGTGTACATTTATATGCATATTCTGCCTGCACTATATACTCAGTTATTTATTAAAATACCTGTAATTCCTTATGTACTTATCCTAAAGTTTTTAATGACTCATCAACATTTTTTGAAAAAAAAACTAAACAATGAAAATTTTGAAAATTTAAAAAAATGAGAAAATTAAAAAATATATTTTTATTTGTTTTTTTATTTGAGACAAATTATAAAATATACTTCTAACGTAGTTCAAAACTATAAAATTTATTTTTAAAAAAAGTAATGTAAAATATTCGCTAAAAAGTTATTAAAGATTTAAAAAAATGATGGGACACTCTGTACTTAATAACTGTATTTGGTATCTAATTGGTAATATTATATGACTTATTTTAATTTTTTATAAAACTATGCTAAGAAAAAATCGGGCCCAATAAAATTTCCGCATGTTGGAATATCTTTTGGTACGGAAGGATAACTTCCAGAAGGACTCGTCACTTTGATGATCAATGATAAGCCATCAGACCATTCTAATGTCTTTTCGCTTCTTAAAAGCCAATATCCTGAAATATAAAAATTATTAAACAAAAAATAGCCTGTAATGCAGTGGTTATTAAAAAATAAAAATTATTAGAATTAAATTCATTTGTTATTATCGCAATCTGATTATAAAATGAAAAAATAATTTAATAACTGAGTAAAAATTACCGGGATTATCTGCCAAAAATCGTATAGCTGATACACCAGCAAAAGGCACTGAAACTGAATTTTTTAAAACGGGATTATTAAGATTTCTGTTTAATAATTTCCCGTCATTATCTAATTTTCTTATTTGATCAATTAAATTCAAGTAAATTTCAGATTTTTCACCAACTTCGTAAAAATGATATCCATGCAGATGAAATGAATGAGGAGCCTTTTTTTGATCATTTGTATGTTCTAACAAAAAATGTAAAGTTAATATTAAGTTATTATAACCTATCAAGATTGAGTTTTGCGAATTACTTTTTATTTCGTTTAGTATTATTGATAGAAGTTAACAATATTTTACCTGCGTCAAAGATTACAATTTCTACTGAAGAGCCAAATTGTATATCAATTATATGAGTACACTCGCAAAAACTTATTGAGCATCTTTTGGGCAAATTTCCTATATTACAAATTTCTAGATCTTCAGGATGATTTAAAAGTAACGGCTGAGATGGTAATATCATCGATATATTATTAAAAGCTGGTTTAGACCACAAGGCTAAAAATATGAATGGGCTATTATTAAATCTGAGGTCACCTAAGCAACAAATTTTATCATAATTTTTCATACTTCCTAAGTTCTGTCTTACAGTGGAAAATCCTAGATAAACTATATTATCGACATTAGGAGTAGATAACTTGTATGGTAATGGTTTTAAACTAGATGTAATCAAATTTGGCTCCGATAAATCTTCTTTCTATACGTTGATGGTAAATAACCAAAATAAATAAATAACAATACAAGTTATAAGTAATAAAAGTTACAAAATGTGATACATTTTTTGTAATAAATAATCTATCAAATAAATTCGAGCTAAAGAAAGCACAGTTTTAAAAAAAAGTATCCTAAAACCTTTTATAATATTTGGACGTTGTTAAAAAAACTGTATTTTATCACTATTCTAAAAATAAATATTTGTATTTTTTTTTAAGCTAATTATATATTAATATATAAATAATTCATTAAAAATGTATTAAAAACTTTAGAAAATTAAATGATTCTGTCACAATTATAGTTGAGTAAAAAGGAGTAAGAGACAAATAGGAAAAGATAACGAGTTCAATATTTCTTAAAATCAATTACGTTTAGCAACAAATCCGTACAAGCATAAATGCCTCTTCTAGTACACTTTTTAATCATTAATACTAATATACATGTACGCAAGTTGATTTTAGTTGAGGTTAGAAATTCATATGTAGCGTTTTTTGAAGTAATTCTAATATTTTAGGTTTTAGTATCTAAGGTGAATTTTTCAACTATCTTTCTAATATATTCTGAAAGTACTACTCAGTACCTGTTAATTCATTAGAGACTCGTTTTTTAAAAATAATTTTGGTTACAATCCTTTACGTTGAGAAAGATGACTAAAATTGTAATTTTTTTTGAAAACTAACAATTTATCCATTAGAAGATGAAAGAAGCAATCGAAAGAATTTATGATATGGAAGAAGTTCTCGTGCAAATTTTAAATTGTAAATCCATTCATAGAAATTAGAAATAATCATAGAAACTTAGTCTCGTCACCATACTACATCTTACCCTATATTAGTGTTTTTTTTTTAAATAAACAAATGATTTTTCTTTTCGACTATAAATAGCTATTTGGTCTCTTACGTCCTTATTATTAATATTTTATTAATATTATTAATTTTTTTTTTAATATTTGAAAAACTTAAGTTAATATTGATTTAAGGGTTAAGGGCTGATGAAATCTTTATTTTCTTGTTAAATAGCTCAACAAAGATTTATAACAAATAAAATAATAATTATTACATATATGATAACACTTATATTTTTAAAGAAAAATCGTGAGACATAGTTTTTCAATCACTCTGTACTTCTTTATATTTTATATTTTACGACCAATATTCTACTAATAATCTTAGATATGTCACATAATTGTAGTTGATATTTTTTCTTGTAATTTTTTTTTAAATTTCAAAGCAAAATAAATCTTATGAATTTATAAAAAAGTACTAATAATTTAGTATTGTTAAAAAGGACCCTTTCAATTGTCAATATGATTCTAAATATATTATTAAAAATGAACTTAATTAGCTTACAATATGTATTGGATTTTTTATATCTTCAATAATAGCATTTAAAGACGAATTGTAGTAAACAGTTATAATGTGATTTAAATCCATATTTAAACAATGACTTGTGGATTTCATAACCATATAATAAATGCCTTTTCCCTCACTTGTTGTCACAATAAAATCTAAAGTTTCATCTAAAACAAAACTTACTACTTCATATCTCAATGTAATTATTAACGGTATTTTAATAATTTACTAGCACCTTTACCTGATTTAATAATGATAGAATCTACAATTTTTGGTACTACTGGATTTCCATCAATTGAAATAATTGTTAAATGATGTTGATTAAACTTAATATAAACGGGACACTTTAAATCACCTCCAAAATTTATGACTCTAAATCTATACCTTCCATTAGTTTTAAGAGATATTGACTAAACATAAAGAAAAAACTAATAAATTACTCAATTTTAAATAATGATATAACCTATTTTTTTGTTTAAGTAAATTTGCATTTTCTCATTTTTCATCAAGATATATATTATGAAATAATAATATTTATATTAAATATAACATTTAATGGCTCATCTATATACAATAGGGACGTAATTAAAGGAGAGCAAGGAGAGCTTGCTAAAGTTACCTTGGTCATCAGACATTTTTTAAATTTTTAGGCGGCCAAATCGAATGTTTAAATCAATCGGTCAATCAAATCAACTTAGTTGCCCCTTTAAGAAAATAACTTGGATATGTTCTTAATAAAAATAGAAAATAAAATAAAACATTAATATAAAATTACTGTTTGCAGAAGCGTGAAGTTATGGGGACAAGATTTTTAAAATATCAACTTATACATATTAATTTAATTAAAACTATTATACATGGTTTTACGTCTAGTTATTGAATAATTGAATATTCATTGAATTTCAAAATTATAAACCAAATTTATTACAACTATTAACTTCTAATATTTGATTATAAAATTAATCATTTCATCTACTCTTAAATTTAAATACTTTTAGCAATATTAAGTGAAAAAGTAAACTACTAAATTGAATTTAAGTTCAAAAAACTAATAAGACCTTGTAATATTGCTTATAGCTTATTTAAATGTCAACATAAGTATTTTGAATTTAAATCATACATCACAAATCAACGAAATTGCTCAACTTTGATACATAGAAGTTAATATTTATAGAATTTATATATTTATATTTTTATTTATATAAAATATAATATTTTAAATAATACCAATGGTGTACTTATTAAAAAATGATTATTTACTCGATCAGTTACTCTATAATTGAAATATCATACAATTATTATTAAAATTTTCGAGCTGTTTGAAGTTAGTGGCGATCAGAAAAAAGCAGTTATTTTTAAAAAACGGCAACATTGTCATGTCGTACATCAATAAACGCTTTTATTCATAGGAATATGATAAACTGGTACACCCATAACACCTATCAATTTATGACCTAATAAAAATACCGTTTATTAAAAATAGGTACATTTTTGATCATTCCTAAACTTAAAACAGCTGTAACTCGTTGATAATCGAAACATATAGAAATATTTTTTAACAAAAAAATCTTTTTAATTGAATATAATATAAAAAAAATTGGGGTTCCTACTTGAAAACTGCAAATTGATGATGATTAAATTATAAGGGATGATAGCAGAAAATTAATTCTTCATATAAACAAAAAACCATTATTATTATTAAAAAATAAAATAAAATTGTAATTAGCTCTAAGATTTCAGAACATATTTCGCGAGACCTGAGTTATGGAATTACCTATATCTAGTATTAATTTGAGGGATAAGTTTCTATATTTTAGTAATTGAAAATATTATTTACATGACAATGTAGAAGTAAAAGTAACACCTTTAAATTTATTTCATAGGAGTTATTGAATTTTATTTTTATTAGAGATCTGTAATAGAATTTGTTAATTATAATGATTTCAATATATAGCTACCGTGTTAGACGTATTTCCATTAACTCTCATTTCGTAAATATTACCAGAAGAAATTTGTTCGATTAACAAGTTGTTCAAATCGTGATCATACAAAGTACTATGAGGTTCTCTACGTTTTGACTGTTTTACTATGAAAACTCCAAATAACTTTTCAGTTAATTCATCTCCTTAAAATAAAAATATAAAACTACTTTTAATTTTAATATTTTTATATAATTTAGATTAAAAAAAAATTACCTGATAATACTTGCCACCAATGAGTACCAGCTTCAGAAGCTCTAAATTTGTACTGGAATGTTGTGAATGGCAATATTGAACATTGAGTAACCATTGGAGCACCATCCATTACCGGTGTTTCTTTTTGTAATTGACCTCTCCAATGTACTGATAGACTATGGCCTGGTATTTTATTTATAATGTCAACTACCAATACATCATTTTGACAAACCTTTAAAATTTTTGGTTTTTATAAAAAAAAATAAATTCCAGCGAAAATGTAATATATATACAGAGTGGCCCACCACTCACTGACAACTTAAATAACTTTTGATCCAGTTAATATTTTTAGTTGATTTTTTTTTTTTAATAATAGTTATACGTTAGGTCTATAGCTATATCTCAATAATTAATTTTTTTACATTTTATTAAAAATATTAATTATTTTTAAATTTTAAATAAAATGTAAAAAAAAAATCCTTAGATAGCTATTTTGTAGAGTAGAATTTAAGAAAAATTTTAGTAAAAAAATATCTTATTAATATTCAGTAGTAAATATTCTGTAGCGTTTTGAAGTTTGTAAAAATTTGAATTTTCATGTACTATTTTACGGTTATAAACATTGAAATACGTATTGAGAAAAGGACAGAAGAAAACGCTATCTTTTCATGATTACTGTGTATACATATGATGATAGTGTGTATACATTACAAACTTGGCATAAATACCATGATAAGAAATTAGATAAGGCAATTATTACTTATCACTCTCATTCAAAAGTATATTGAAAAGATAGCGTTTTCTTCTGTCCTTTTCTCAATACGTATTTCAATGTTTAATACCGTAAAATAGTACATGAAAATTCAAATTTTCACAAACTTCAAAACGCTACAGAATATTTACTACTGAATATTAATAAGATATTTTTTTACTAAAATTTTTCTTAAATTCTACTCTACAAAATAGCTATCTTAGATTTTTTTTTTACATTTTATTTAAAATTTAAAAATAATTAATATTTTTAATAAAATGTAAAAAAATTAATTATTGAGATATAGCTATAGACCTAACGTATAACTATTATTAAAAAAAAAAAATCAACTAAAAATATTAACTGGATCAAAAGTTATTTAAGTTGTCAGTGAGTGGTGGGCCACTCTGTATAATAAAATAAAAAACATAATCTTTTAGATAAGTGTTTTATGTGTATGTTATCTATTTTTTAATCAGAGGTGCACATTCAGTCAAAAATTTAGGCATGCTTAAATTATTGATTCCAATGATCATTAATATTTTTAAAAATATAAAACTGGTAGGTACTAGAAAATAATAAAACATATTGAACCAAATTAACTAAAAAGATAAAGGATCTCAATTATTATACCTTATATTTTGTCTTATTATATACAATGTATACATAATAAAAATATATAAATATCTACATGTGATAAATTCAATTTCCATTTTCTTATTGAATATTATTTTTATTATACATTTGTAAGTAGGTTGTACGCACAATAAACAGGGTATTGCACCATAAGTATGTGATAATATAAATAGTTTGAACAACTTAATTATTTGATTTTAATAATTTAATGTTAATTAATTATATTATTATATGTTTATTAATATATTATTTAATAATTTTAATAATTTTGTGATTTTGAAAATAAATAACAATTATTACAAAATATATGTTGCCATCCAAAAAACAAAAAATATTCGTTTGTTGTATATTAAATAAAATGTCTATATTACCCTTGTAAAAGCATCAATACTTTTCAAAAATTTTAATAAAGATTTATTTTTTTAAGTATTAGTTCAGGCTTATTTACAGAAGAGATTTAAAAGATAAATAAAATTCAAGAGATTTATAATCCTATTATACAACCAATTTTTATTTAAGTACTTTTATAAATATCATTTTTTAAAATTTTATTATTTATTATTAAATATTACTTGTTCATACTTACGTGAATTGATGGTCCAGGATGTTGTCTATTTGCAGTGATAATTTTGTTTATTGAACTACGACAATACAAATCATTGGAGTTGGTTTGATTGTGTAAACAATTTAGATTGTTTCTATAATAATATTAAATTAATATGTTCGTTAATTGTGTAATTATTACCTAAAAAGTTTCCAGCAGCTCATTGATTTCGATGTAATAAACCAAATGTATCAATATAAAATGTTAATATCACTTAACTAGGTAACAAGTTTACAATACAATCGTCCATGAAATAAATAAAAAAAATCATCCTAACATTAAAACAGCAATATAATTAAAAACATTTTTTTTTATACAATTTCAATGCTTAATTGTGAAAACACGTAATTTTTACATTAAAATAACTAGTAAAAAAAATAAAGTTAGTGTGAAAATAAGTACAAATAAATTATTAAAATTATTTTAAAATATTTAAAAATATAATTTAAGTAACCTTCATTGTAATTTTAGATTGGGAATATATAACAAGATATTTTTTTATTTCATTCAAATTAAATTAGTTACATAAAATCCCTTTATCTTTGAAAACATCCATTAGAAAGAAAAATTAGAAAAAAATTGAATTGTATTACAACCTATGGCGCAAATAGATGGTGTTAGAAGATTGTACACCACATCCTTAATAAACAATTTTACAGAGTATTTTTAAAAGTTGAGTGCTTGACGCGCACTGCCTCGGGTTCGAAACTCGGTCACGGGCGTCTTCATTTGACAAACGAGAGATCAGTTCGATAATTGGAGTCGCCATCTCACTCTCCGGCGACGGACTAACCACCCGTCCCGGAATATAAATGGTTAAGAAAACCTCCTCCTAAGGGGAGGTCGCTATAGCCCTTAATGGACTAATAAAAGCAAAAAAAAATGTTAAAAGATAAACTAGGAAACAGAAAATTGAAAAATAATGATTGAACCTAATTAATCCCCAGTTGTAAGTTTAAGCCTACAATAACTTAAAATTATACTTAATAAAATTATTTGTTTTTTTACCTTCGGATGTTTAAAGCTTCTAGTACAATTTTATAACGGCATATCTGTGGCCATTCAAGTTCATGACATTCTCTGTCACAACTGACTCTTTTAGATTCTTCTAAATTAAATGAGTCAATTTATTAATATAATTTATTATTTTTATATCTAATAAATTATATAAATTATATATATATATATATATATAGGTTAATTGTTTTTTAGTCAATTAGTTTACGTAAAAAATTAAATTTGACATAGTGTTATGGTTATTTTTTTTAATACCTAAACTTGTTTACAAATCTTCAACTAAAATTGTATATTTCTTTCTTAATAAGTATACTGCAAAAAGTAAAAAAAATGTAATGCTCTATGCTTAATAAAATAAATCAGACTTATTTGTTAAAATTAATTTCAATTTTAAGTTTTTAAATGCATGGGCTTAAATTAAAAAAATGTATTAATTAATAGGCAAATACAAAAATTATCCTAGTAAAAAAATAATTTGGCGTGTATAATGAATAAATATAATAAATACATTTTTTTTTTTTAAATATTTTTTTAATTTCCTATTGTATTCTTTTAATAAATTTATGAAAATAACATATAATGTTCTGTATTAATTATGGTAAAATTATTAAATTTTTTAGTTGAAACCTATTACATTATCCTTGATATTCGTTGAAGTTATTTGAATCTAAATGAGATAAAAAACCCAGCACAGGGGGTCGCGGCACAATGGTGACGTGGCATAGTTGGATCAAGTATAATGATATCTGACAGTGATAAAATCAACATACAGTAGTTATGAAAAAAAATTGTATTGATCCATACATATTTCAAAAAGTTATAGCAATTTAAACTTGAAAATATAAAATTGAAAATTAAAATTTTTAACACAAAAATATCATGTTTTTAATTACGGCAGCTATTTGCGCATAGAAGATAAGTCGATAGAAGAATTTTTTTAATTTTATAGTACATGATACAAGTTATAATTTGATAATCTTTAGATAGTGTTTAATTTTTAAAAATTGGTGTATTATTCCAAAAGCTACATGATCTGCTAGTTCCTTATTAATATCCTGATTAAGATATAGTATGTCAAATGAAAAAGAGATTATTAAAAAATATTATTTCTCATAAAAAATTGTATTGATCCATATATTTTTCAAAAAGTTATAGCACTTTAAAGTAAAAAATGTAAATTATAAAATCGAGAATATTCACACAAAAATAGCATTTGGTAGCCGTTTTCACCATGAAGACATGTCTAGAGGTCAATTTTTTTTTTCAAATTAAAGTACATTACATTAGCTTTAATTTAAGATATATATAAAAGTGTCAGACTTTCCGGAACATTTTCAAAAGTTAAGTTGAAAAAGTTAATTTTTTGTGAAATAGTTGTCATTTTAAATCCCCCCCTTGTGGGCAGATAAAGGGTCAAATTTACAAAAAAAATATACCAAATGATAGGTAAAGACATCAAACATCTATAAAAAAATTATATTGATATGTTCATTTTTTAAAAAGTTACAGCAATTTTTAGTAAGTAGTGGATTATTCCAAAAGCTACATGATCTGCTAGTTTTTTATTAATATCCTGATTAAGATAAAGTATGTCGATTAAAAAGGGGATTATTAAACAATATTATTTCTCATAAAAAAATTGTGCTGATCCATACAATTTTCAATAAACTATAGCATTATAAAGTTAAAAATGTAAAAAATAAAATCGAGAGTTTTCACACAAAAATAGTTCAAAAGTTAAGTTGAAAAAGTAAATTTTTTGTGAAAAAGTTGTCACTTTAAATCCTCCCCTGTGGACCCGCATGAAAGGGTTAAATTTATAAAAAAATATACCAAATGATAGGTAAAGACATCAAGCAACTATAAAAAAAAAAATTATATTGATTTGGTTATTTTTAAAAAAATTATCGCAATTTTAAGTTATGAAAATTGAAAAAATGTCAAAAATGAGCGATTTTTAAATTTGTAATTTTTTGGAGGTTTCCTCCATTTACGGGGAACGAGGGAAATGTTTTCAATTTTTGAGGGTAATGTCTTCGACTAGTTATGATTTGTGATCTTTGGACTAATCGTTGAAAGAAATCGGTCCGGAGACAGCTGAGAAAAAGTGGTAACAGACACAAAAAAAAAACACATCATAGTAAAATTTTAAACTTTTTCAGTTTTGCATAGAACCTAAAAAATTTATCACGTACAATACAATATTTTAGTTTTTACTATATCTTTCATTTGTGTTATGTCATTATAACTAACTATTATATTGTTGATTGTTAGTTTTTCAGAGTTTATTCATCAAGGGCAAACAAACCGTCTTCTTTTAGTTGAGCGTGACAACTGACCTCGCGTACTTATAAAGGTAAAAAATGTTTTAATTTTTATTCATTTACTAACGTTTTTATGATAAGAAATCATACACATTCGAAAACAGAAGAAGATTTGAAATTACCTAAGAGAGAGTTAAAAAATTTTAAAACACTGACAACCTTATCTAGTTTCTCTTAGTAGTCAATATTTTTTAATAATGATAAGGCAACGTTATGAAATAGAATTGTTAAGCGAAATTATATATTTGCATCACTATTATAATTTGTATTAACAGTATTTCGTAAAATATGACAATTTTAAAATATAGACTGAGAGAAAGGCGCTAGTAAGACTATGTACAATGTTAGATGTTTCTTAACTTCACTTCTCCTCTCGTTCGCGTATAAAAATGTTGATAACTTTAAAAAGCACTGGTCCAAAAGTTGAAATCGGCCAATCATTTTCTTAATTAGATCGTTTCTTATTTTATAAGCTAGTTAAAAATCTATATTACCAATTAAGAAATTAAATTTGACACTCTTTAAAAATTATAAGGTATGATGCTAAAACTAATTAATAATAATAATAAAGAGTAATCTGATTTTTGAAACTACTGGTAAAAAGAAGTTTATTTATTTGATTTTTATACTAAAAGTGATTTTAATATAATTGTACTCTGTATGATTTGGGTATTGTAAAATTTAGATCGTGAATTGTGAATAATTTGATTAATGCATTAAATATATTTTATTTTAGGTAAATTAGTGTTTTATTATACAATTATTGAAAAAATGTCTTTTTATAAAAATTTATAATGAAATGCTCTGATAATTCATTACTAAAATTAAAATTATGTTTTAATTTAAATTTACGAAGAAAATTAATATTTACCGAAATCGGGTATTGGCGTGTAATATATTATAGTAACTACCACAGATAGAAGACCGACAAAAATTGACAATCGAAGTATACAAGTGCAAATTGTGTTATTTTTATTGGCCATTTTACAAAAATATTAATAAATATTAACGTAAAAATTCATAACATAAACTATATTATTGTGAGCAAAATACAAATTGTAAGTGACATAACAGCACACGTATAAACAGGATTTTAGCTACTATTATTCGAATGAAAGTTAACGAATGAAGTAAGATGTTAAACTGCAATATACAAGTGAAACTAATGTACAATTAATAGAGACTGGACCATACTAAAAAATAATAGTAGGACATTTTACTTGACCTACTCAAAATACGTGCGCACGCACACACATGTAGACTACTTGTTTTTAAGTAATTTTATGTTACTTTATTTATCTATTTTACTATATTATTTTATTTAATTGATGCAATATTTTTTAATACTTATCATAGCGTCATGAGGTATAGCGATTAAAAGTGGGGTTAAGAGTTGTGTGATATTTTTTTCAAGTTCCCATAATTTTAATACAAAAATAGCATATTTTTGAATACGGTAGCCATTTGCGCATAGAAGATAGGTCGTCGGAACAAATTTTTTTTTTTCATTTTATAGTACATACAATAAGCTTTAATTTGATATATGTTTAAAGGACGCAGTATTTCCGGAACACTTTCAAAAGTTAAGTTGAAAAAGTTCTATTTTTTATACAATTTTTCAAGTTTTGAACGCCCCCTATATATGGGAAAATTGTCCAATTTTAATAAATAGTATGTATATTTTAAGAAAAAAAAGTGAAAAAATTTCGAAAATTAGCGATTTTTAAATTTGTAATTTTTTTGGATATTTCCCCCATTTGCGGGGAACGAGGGAATTTTTTTCAATTTTTAAGGGTAATGTCTTCAACTAGATATGATTTGTGATCTTTTGACGTATTTTTGAAAGAAATCGATCCAGTGAGAACTGAGAAAAAGTGGCAACAGACATAAAAAAAAAAAAAAACACATCATAGTAAAATTAATACCTTCTCCGCTTCGCATCGAAGCTAAAAAAAACACACCTTAGTAAAACCAATACCTTCTCAGCTTCGCATCGAAGACAAAAATTAATAACAATAATATGAAAGTCATAGATTTTCATCATTTTTGTGAAAAATTATACAATTTGTTGCTTTAAATGTATTAGTGCACACAATTACTTGGAGGGTGAGACAGATTCAATTTCATCAATTCAAATCTAAAGAACTCCCTTGAATGAGCTAATGTATACTAATGTAAGCTATAAATCTTACTTTATAGTAAATATGAACAAAACTACATTTTTTGTTTATAAATGTTTGACAAATAACGTTTCAGCATTCAAAAATAAAAAATGTAATCATTGGAGGAAATTACAAAGGAAGGTGGATTAAAAAAGAATATTTTAAAAATTTAGTAAAATTTTTCTATAAATAAAACTAAAACATAAAAGTTTTATACTTTGCAACTAAGTTTCTATTTTTTCATTAAAAATAATTAAAACAAATTATTTACAATATAATAATGAAATTCAATATTTAACATAATATCTTATTAATTCAGTCTACATTTAAATACATAATACAAATTGAAAAATACTCTTAAATTAATTTACATTGATTCATAAGTACTGAAAGAGAATCTTTAATGGCATGAAATACAATATTCTTTATTTGTAATTTGTCTTCATGGTTAGTATGACTATCAGTGAGATCACGAAACTCTTGTGTCATGCGAAAGGAATGGTGCACATTTTCAGGAGAAACAAAGTCTTCAGCAACTTTTATACAGTTGTGCAAATTTCTTACCTAAAATTTATTAATATTTCATTTTCTTAATTTAATTATTTAGCTATTTTCCAAAAACTACTTTTTTATTTTAATACATTTTTTAGGAATTATACACTATTTGTAAAACCAAATCTTAATGTTAGACATGGTGATCAATACAAATTCGTTTTTTTAATTTTAACTTATGAATCTAAAATTTATAATTATTTGATTAGATGTACTGCATGAACAGTAATTATAGGTTTAAATGAGTCAATTTTATTGAAAGTCTTGCAAATTTAAATACCTGATGGGGTGCGCCGGCGGGAATGAAAACTGCATCACCATAACATTGGACAATTGGATAACCTTTGACTCCATACTCTTTGAATAAACGTTCTCTTAGATATGCATCCAAATAATGAGATTGATCATGAATTGGATCATGATGCTGTTCTGGGAAAATTCCTTGTTCAATAGAAACTTTATTTAAAAAATCTCTAATACAATCAGCATCAGATGCATGATAAATGTGCCATAAAGCTCCTGGGATTTCTCCTTGCTCATAAACACGTTTTTTTGTTAAAATATCACACCCTGCCTCTTCAATTACTTGTAAGGCTTCTTTAACATGCCAATTGTAATCAAATTCTTTACAATTTTTTGTGATTGCAACATAAACCATAACATTTACTGCATCTGATATATCTAAATGCAAATTAGTTGTGCCCAAAAGTTTATATTTTGTACCAGCATTACCATATGCTGTGTACATTTTTGGTCCTAAATCAGGGCGAACAAAACCTTCAGGTAAGCGAGATGCCAAATTAAATTTACCATCACGATGAGTGTATTCTTTTAAAGGTAGTGAATTCATTAAATCTTGGAATCTATCAGGTAAGGTTTCAGCAAAATCAGCTGAAGGTGGCCAATCTTTTAACTTTAATAACATAGAATTACCTCTATTGTCACATAAACGCTCAGAAGCATTTTCAAAACCATTCCAAAATTTACTCATGGGCTGATTAGGAACTAACTTACCACTAGCACAATTAATCAAATCATTTTTTTGATCACCAAAATCACGTGAAAATGACTCAGGATGCCATAATGAAGAATTCAAGTTTTTCCCTACATCACTTACAATTACTGGTTGTCCTCGTTTCCATTGATCCTAAAAATTACAAATACAATTTCAATTTAAAAAATTAGTAATTTAGAAATATAATTCAAATAATATTTTAAGTGATAAATCTCTATATTTACTTGAAATAGATAACAATTATCAACATTTTTTGGATCAAGTAAACGTAATAAACGTCCATCGCATAGCCAAGTGTGAGGAACACTAGTAGTTCTTTCAATTAGTAGTGATAATTTTGGTGCATACATTTCTTTGGTATTTATAGATGTTTCTATTTGATCAGTAATAGGATTTGTTAAATTGAATAAACAATTTACTTTTTCTTCATCTTCTTTACTTTTAAGGAAAAAATCAAAACATTGTTTACTTAATAGCTTTTTCAACGCTGGAGTATCAATTTCATCTTCTTCATCTGAACTACTGTTTATATTGTTCATGAACATATCAGTTATAGGATTTAAATTAATTGATGGTAAATTTTTATTTGACTGTAAAGAACAATTACAATCCAAAAGTATTTTATTTTTATAACAAATATCATGCATATATTTAGACATAAGATTTAAAGCATCTCCAGCAAGAATTTGTGTAATGGTTAAATGATCTACTTGATGTTCTACTTGATCAGAACAATACAACCATTTTTCTTTATCTCGTTTCCTCTTATAATTTTTTTTACTGTTAGGAGAAATAGATGGGCTTTTTAAGAGTCTACTTTTATAACAGTCAACACAAACTACAAAACCACATTTTCCACAAACCCAGTGATGATTAAATATTGTTGTTTTACAAACATCACACATCTCGCGAATTCCATTAACACATTTTTTCCAAGCTACTTTGCGTTTTTTACGTCTGTTAGGCCAATTTAAATATAAAGCTTCATTTTCATCCTGAACAAACCTACAAAACTGACCTCCAGTATCTTCTAAGACTTTTAATGCTACTTGTACATCAAAATTATCTGGAACATTATTTGAATCAGGAAGCCACATTTTTAAATCAGCATTATTCATATCTTTATATGGATCTGGATAACCAGCAACAGATAGCCGCCCAGTTTTTGTGAATCGTAATTGACGGAATGCATAAAATCTACAAGTAATATTGTCATAATCTCTTTTAGTCAAGTTTTTTTTTGACTGGTAAGAGCGACATTCAATGCATTTATCAATTTTTGGTGGTAAACCTAAACATAAACCTTTTTGTAAAAATCGTTCTAAAGTATTTCTCCATTTTTCAACTTCTTGAGATTGATCAGTAAATATATCTGGAATACCGACAGCAACTTCTTTACAAGATTTTGGTTTTTGTCTTTGAAAATTAAACTTATTCATAATTTTAGATTTTGGTATTTTTTTCTTTTTACAAGAATTATCACTTTCTGTATCATAATTACTACTACAACTACTACTACTACTACTACAACTTAATTTTTTTGATTCAGAAAGTTTTCTTTTACGGTTTTCACTACACATTTCGAGTGATTTTTTTTTTTCATTTACCTTATTAGAATTAACCAGACAATTATTGTTATCACTAGATAAATTTAGGTTATCAACATTAATACAATCCTTAAAAGCATTATTTAGCTGAACTATATTTTGAACATTTTTATCAACAAGTTTTGCACAGTTTTCATACTCTATTAATTCACCATTAAAATCATCTGTACTATTTGATATCTTGTAATTTAGACTTGATAATGAATCATTACAATTTTTGTAATTAAAATCAAATAATTTAATACTATACTTTTTTTCCTGCGGAATTTCATATGTATTTGAATGATTAGCTAATGATTTAAAATCATTTGAGACAGAATTGCCTAATTGAAAAAATATACACATCACATTTAAAATACATTTTTAAATAAATCCATAGTTTGCTGGCCTCACAGCAACACTGTATAAAATATTTTCAAGAAAGTCATTAAGTTTCTTTGAACTTATGAAAATACTATTAGTTGAAATTTAAACAAGGTTGATGTAAATTAATGATAGCACCAAACTGAGTTCAAGTATTACATTTTTGACTGAATGTATATTGTGCAGTATTGCTGTGGGGATGGATATTTATTTGTTTGAACTTACATTCTGAATCAATATTTTGATCATTTGACAAAAATTTTTCACAATGTGTCATCATTAAAATTATAGACTTTGTACTTTCCTCTAAAAAAAAAAATATTTTAATTTAAATGATTCTCATTTCTAAAATAATTTAAATGAATCCTACAATACTCAGTTTACTAATACATAATAATAGGAATAAATAATAAATATGAGATATAATATTTTAAGATAGTAAATCAAAACAAAGATTTTCATAGTAAAACTAAACAAAATTTTATCAGACACAAAAACAATTATTTCAGACAGTACAAAAATTTGAGCTTATTAATTTCAGGATAATGAATTTGACACATACATAAATACTACACAAGAATAAAGTTTAAGGGATCTTGGAGGCTAAGTTACTCCCAAATACAATAAATTATAAATACTTCTTTTGGAGGAAAAAAATTAAAATTTGCTCACTCAAATTTTTTTTTAGACTGCCTATAATGATATATATTAAAAATTTACTTTAACTGATACAATAACTATTTTTCTTTTTATTATTTTTAATACACTTATTCTACATTGGGAAAACTCATTAAAAAACAAACGAATATTAATTTAATACTGTTAAGAACTTTAATTAAATGGATATTTAACTTTTTAACCTTTAATTAGTATAGTTGAAAATTAAATTGTTTAATTAAATATCACTTTGTTTTAATTTATACATTAGTGAAATTAGGAACTTAATTATAAAATTTATGAATTAATAAATCAAAAAGAAACTTCTTATTTATATTAAACACATACAAAAAATTAAAGTAAAAATAAATAACTTACTTATTGTTTAACATTTACGACTTTTGTTCCAATATCATACAAATATTTTTTAAAAGGTAGTATTTTAAATAGTAATAAAAAATGTTTGATTTTGTAATTCAAAACTAATTCTTTATTAAAATTCAATTGCATTTTGTACTTATATTAATTTATATAGTTTTTCATTAATCGTGATAGGAAATACAGCTCAAAATGTTCAAACATATTCTTAGAAATGTTGACTGTCTAATGTCTGTCCACTTTTGTATATCATTAAATAATAATAAGTGAAAATAACAATAATCGCCATATTCATGTTTTCATTAGCCTATTTGCTTTCTATGTTAATTTTCATCTAATAGTGTTATCAGTTCAAATGACCATTGTTATAGTAATTTTTATCTCTAATCTTTTATCAGTTGTAAAATAAATTGTATAGGTTACCTAACAAATAACACCACCTATACTTAAGTTCTATGATATTTATGTATTTCTTATGAACAAAATTAGTATTTAAATTTTTAATGACTATACGTGTTAACTAGGAAACCTTATAGCTTATCAGTATAATCAAGAAAAAAGATTAATTCACTAAATATTAATTTTTTACACAGTAAAAATATAAATAATATTCATAGAATTTCATTAATACTTCTTATTGACATTTTTTCTATTATGTTTACTATTCACTTTCTCGATTTATTAAAAAATAAATAATTTAATTAAATGTACTTTTTTATGTAATTAATAATTGTCTTGAAAATATTAATGAGAAACACTAAATATTAAATTATGGCGAGTAAAAATTTAAAGAACACAAAAGTGGAATCTGATTTAGCTGGATGTCGAGAAGAAGGTAACTGGACAAAAATATTAGAACTTGCTGAACAGCTATCTTCAAGTAAAGGTATTACCAATTCACATAATACAATTTATAAAAAATTCCTTCTCGTCATTAAGTCATTAAGTTTGATAATTAAATAAAAATTTTTTTAATTATCAAACTTAATTATTATTAATAATTTTATTTTTTCTATATACTTATTAAATAAAATAAAGCTCAGTTGAAAATTATTGAACTGGAGATAAAAAAAAAATTGTTTTATAGTTTAAAAATTTAAACTTTATTTAAATACTATTTCAATGTTTAGCTTTATTGTACAACTTAATGGTTGGTGAAGCAAAGTTAGAAATGTTTTTAGAAGAGCATCCACCAGTTGAAAGTAATATATCTAAAGCTTGTACAGGTCTAATTGATGCTAAGTCACATTTAACTGATTCAATTAATGAACTGAATACCCAAGTATAAATATTTTATTATATTTTTTAATCTAATCCTACAATTAGCTATTAATAAATCAAATTTTTAAAAATTAATAAATTAAGGTATTTAAAATCTCAAAAATGAATATTATTTTGATATATCAAAGAACTTAAGTTAATCCAAATTAAATGATTAAAATTAAAAATTATTTTAGACTGGCATGAATATAGATGCTCATATGCTTCTTGCTAAACTTTGTTACGCATGTGGTAATTATGAAGAAGCTATGCAACATTGCTCTGAAGCAAAATTGAACTCTGTAATACAAACTGATTTACAAATTCGCAATATAAGAATTTTAGCAGAATCTTTTGCAGTTAAAGGTATTTAAAACTCTTTAAACATTTTCATGGTAAAAATTGTCATTCATTATTATGTATGTAATTATACTTTCAAGGATTATGTCAAGAAAAATTAAAACCATCGACAAGCTCTCGTTTCAAAAAAACTGCATGGGTCGACAGTGTCATAAAAAACTATGAGCAAGCTACTAATTTAGGAATTTTATATTTACAAGAACTGGATAACAAAGAAAATCAGCTTATGTTGCCATCACCAATTGGTGGTACTGCTCCATCAATTAATAATACTAATGTTATTTCTACTACTGGTATCTTCATGAATTATTTAAAAATAACATAAAATAAAAAATATTAATAAAATTGTTGTATATATTTTAGGATCTCATTCTCCACAACCCATTAACATGTCACATACACTTAGTATTTTAGTAGAGACTGTTATTTTACGACTGCCATTATTACTTATAGAAAATTTAAATTATACTGGTGCCATTTCTACATTCAGGTAAATTTTTAACATAAATTTAAACTGAATAACAAATAAACTTTTAATATTAAATTAATTACATTTTATTATCTATCTACATATTACTTACTACTTAGACTTAGATGGTTTGGTCGTGTTATGAAGAGAGAGGAATCGGAAGCTGTAAGAACAATTATAGAAATGAATGTTGAAGGAAGAAGAGATAGAGAAAGACCAAAAAAGAGGTGGAGGGATGTAATTAAATATGGTATGAAGACAGCTAATGTGAGTGTAGATGATGAATTGTGTTAAGTGGTAGTTTAGAATAAGGGTGGCCGACCCCAAGTAGTTGGGATTAAGGCGAGGAAAAAAAAATCTACATTTAATTTATTAAGTAATTTTTGTATCATTTCTATATATAAATAAATAATTAATTAACTCATAATTTTCATTGTTTATACTACTAATATGTTTCTTTATTAAGTTAAAGTGAAATTTAAAAACAAAGAAATTGTGAAATTACAAATATACATTATATTGTGAAGTTTAACATTTTTGTATCCAAGTGTTTTTTATGATTGTAATCTTAATCATTATAAGATATCATCTATACTTGTTCCAACTATGCCAAGACTTAGCTGTGCTGGGTTTTTTTTGCATAAAATGTAGTTGATAACTGTTAGAAGCCAAATATTTTCAAGATGGCAAAGATTATTGTCTAATTAAAATACATTTTTGATAACTTATTATGATATTTGATTATAGTTGAACTATATTTTAGGAGTATATTATCAGCATGTGAAGCACATGGTACTCATTCTATTAGACTTGTTTTAACTTATCAATTCGCTGAATTTCTTCTACGTAAAGTATCTCCTAAGTATTATTCTCTCCCAACTCAAAATAGTAAGATTTAAGAGAAAAAATTTATATATTTTAAAAATGTTGTATTAAATAAATAAAAATAAACAAATACTTGTTTTAGCTCCAACCAAAAAACATTTAAGTAATGTTAGAAAATCCAAAAAGTACAATACTATAAATATGTTTTTACCAAGAAGTGAACATGAAGAAACAATATTATTACTCATTATAAGGTATAATTTATATGTTAAAAATAATTTTGTCTAAATTATATTAAATTAAAAAATATGCAGTGAAGCTATGGCTACTAGAAATGCAGTTTTGAGTCAGTCACCTGAGTTTAAAGATGCTAGGATTAGAGCATTCAATTTAGCAACTGCTATATATGATTTACTTACATTTGCATTAGTTCTTTGGGGACAGTATAATATGTTACATGAAGTATGTATTTAAAAAATTACAATTTACCATATCTTTTTAAAAAAATCTAAAAAGAGTTTGATAGTCTTTTGAGCGTGCTATGAAATTTTCTGCTGATGATAGTCATGTATGGATGCAACAAGCTTTATGCCTTGAAGCTGCTGGACGCCATATTAGAGCTTTAGAAGTACTTAAATGTGTTATAAATATGCAACCAAATGCTGCAACTCCTTGTTTGATTGCTGCTAAAATATGTTATCAATACTTATTCAAGGTACTATTTATACTTTTTCAAATTATTAAAATAATAATTGTTTTTTTTTTCAGATGGAAGAAGGTTTAAATTGGAGTCAAGAAGCATTAAAGCGAGAGCAACGACAACCTCAAAATTTGTTATCAAGATGCTATTTGTACATTGGAATTGGAGCACAGTGTATTGCTCTAACATCTATTTTAAAATCTGTCAAAGATAAATATCACACCATTTGTTTAGAATCCTTATTGAAGTAAATATTAACTGTTGATCATATTTACTATATTTTATTGTTTTCAATAATATATTGCATATTTTAGAGCTCAATGTATAGATCCAAATGATCACTTATCTTATTATTACTTGGCATTTCATTATGCTTGTGTAGCTAAAATATCAGAGGCTACAAGTAAAGTACGTCAAGCTTTAAAATTAAACTCTGAACACACACCATCCTTACAATTGGAAATTTTATTACTGAGTGCACAAAAAAATATGAATGAAGCTAAAGCTCTCTTAAAAACTTCTTTGGACGATTTTCCTGATCACATTGGCTTACTTTTTATGAAGGCTAGAATTGAACTATATACTGAAGATTCAGAGGTAATTGCTTGATACTTTTTTTCATTAGTTACTCACTAAAACATTTATTATTTTTCATCAGGTTGCATTAATTACAGCAAAACATATGCTATCCTTGTGTAAAGCTTCAGTATGTAATGAAGGTTCACCATCAATAGAACATACTGACACTCGAAGTGTTTTTCAACTTTATACTACTGAGCATTCAGATAAAGATTCAAGTAATAAAAACTTTTTTTGTACATTTAAGCAAAATTTTAATGTTAAGCTATAATAGATTCATTGGGTCCTGCAAAAATAGAACAAGCATTATCTGAAGTAGCATCTTCTATTAGTTCATTGGTTCCACAAAGACCAGTAGCAAATTCTGTTTGGTATACCCAACAAAATGTATGGTTACTTTTAGCTGAAATATATTTGTCACAAGAGCAATTTGATGCAGCCAATAGTTGTTTATTAGAAGCTGCCAGTATTTTTCCACTATCACATCATATTATGTTCATGGTAATAATAAGTATTATTTGTTTTTATAGAGTAGTTTTTGTAAGACCAAAACCATATGACACTTAAATTGAATCTCTCGAAAAAGTATTTACAACAAACTTGAAATTTACTAAAAATACTACTAGATATATTGAGACCAATTGGTAAAAAGCTCATTAAATAATACTTATTCTTTTTATAATTATTGATAATTTTTTTATGGGGCAAGTTGACATACATTAGCTTAATTTATTGTCACTGAACTCTTCATTTCGCCTACCTCATGTTCTCCTTTGTCAAACTAGTACTCTATATACTCTGTTTTACTCTTAATTATTCTTAAACACTTTTCTTCAAGAGCTGATTAATTTTACGACTATAATTCAGTCACTTTACTACTACTACTTTACTTTTCATCTCATTAATGAATCAGTGTCTATATATATATATATTATGTGTATATACATGCATGGTGTTTTTTTAGAGTAAGGAGAAAATACAATTAACATCCCTAAAAATATTATTCTAACAGGCATTTGCAGAAAAAATGTCTATAAATAAAAAAATTGTTGGTAGTTTTATATATTATTTATGTATTATATTATTCTTTAAATTAAGTGTATACTTTTAATAAATAAAAACCAAATCTACATGATATCAATCTATAAAAACGATGATTTTAATCCTGTATTCATAATACATTTTAATAAAAAAAAATTTATCTTTCAATTTAAAAAAATGTTTTAATTTGCAAAATTTTATAATACACAATTTAGAAAATTGACAAACATAAAAGTCAAGAGTGGCAACTGTCCTTTGCCTTTGTGACAAGCAGTATAAAATTTATTATAGCTAAGATAAACAATAGTCTTTTTTAAAAAAGACTTTATTTTACTTTAAAAAAGTTTAGTTTAACAAAGGCTACATATATTAATGTGCACATGAATAACTGTTAAATAAAATATATATACAGTGTGATCAGTTTATTATAAACCACTCGATTGCTCACAAAATAAATTCAATAATAGAAAAAAAAAATTTGGGTTTTTTTAGTTTTGTATATTTTTTTTATATTAGCTTAAATTACTTTTTTAAATCATCCCTTGTAACTTATAGAGGTGTTAAATTTATTTTATTGAAGCGTACATAATTTACTAGCTTATTTAATAGACAATTATGTAATTAAGAAAATGAGTGGTCGATAACAACTTTTGAACCAGTATTAACTCTAGTTATACATAATATAGTATAAATTAAATGGTCATATTTAAAAACGCCTGTATAAGAATATTGTTAATGTTGCCATTTTATTTGACACATAAATCTGTAAAAATTACCAGCCAGCCCTTTAACACCCCTTTAAAAGCAATAATTATTTAAAAATAAAAAAAATATTTTATTTTAATCAACAATTGTGTTCAATTTTATTTTATTTAGCGTGGACTATTTCATGAAAAAAGAAATGAGTTTAATGAAGCAAAACAATGTTACCAAAATGCAGTTACTGTTCACCCAGCTCATTTAAAAAGTCTTCAACACTTGGTAATTTGTATTTTCTAGTGTATTATTACTGATAAATATAATTGTTATAATATAGGGTTTAATGTATCATTACTTGGGAAGTCATAGGCTAGCTGAAAAAACATTAAGAGATGCTGCAAAAATTAATCCTTATACTTCTGAAATTTGGTAATCTCTAATTTCATTCAATATCTCTTTTTCTGTATTAAATTAATTTAAATGTTATAGGTATAATCTTGGAAAAGTATTAGAAAGCTTAGGAGAAACTGAAAGTGCCACTGACAGTATGACAACTGCATTGCAAGTAGAAATGATTAGCCCTATAATGCAATATACTAGTATTCCATTACCATTTGATTAATTACTATAAATCCAAATGAATAATTGAAGCTAAACTTTTGAGTTAATTTTTTGTTTTAGCTATAAAATAATCAAAAGGAGAGGTTTACCATAATTTTCATAATTCCTAGTTCTTATTGGTGATCAGTATTGGCTTTATTGCATACTATTAGTACTATATTTCTTTTCTTATGCACTTTTTTTATGTGTATTAATACTAATCTATATGGAATACTTTGTACCTTGTTGAGTTTTTGTTAAATTTTTTATAATTTATTAGTAATCAAAATAAAAGCAATACATTAAAAAATCTAGTACATAAATGATGTAGATTTATTTATTTAATTATGATAATATGTATTTTAAAAAATTGTTTTGACATTTTAAAACCTTTTAAAAAGTAGAAATAGAAATAAAATGTTACATACAAAATTAATATGTAAATTGTTAATATATTTCTGTAATATTTTAATAAAATTATTTAAATTGCATAGTTTAATAAATTACTTGTTGTGTTCAGAAATCTGAATTAAATGAGTTTTTTGAAATATCAGTATATTGAAACAGTAATCATAACATTCACATCTGAAAACATAAAATATTTAATCAAAATTAATTTTAAATTAAGAGAAAATAATAATAATAAGGCACAAAAAATGAAACTTCATGCTAAAAATATATTACAATATTATTTCAAATTATAACATTGAAATTAATTGCTTTAAATTTCTCTGAATTTATATATATCCTAGATAGTAGATTAACAGCAAGAAGGAATTTAAAAACTATAAAAATGTATACAAAAACTACAATAAGACTAAAAACTATTGATTAGTGTCTGACTACAATAGTCCAGCTCTGCCATTCCAATTTTTTATCATTATATTACAAACTATGCAGAATACTCCCAAATTGCTAGTAAACCAATTTTTCCTAACACCCAACTTTATTAATTTTTATTGAATAATCTCTCCTTAATTTGAATCATGACTAAAATCATTAATTGGCAATACTGAGTTTCATAGGTTCATACAAACGTATTGTTACATCATTGAGTATAGATATATGTTGAGTATGACTATACTAACATGTGGTATAGATATACCACATATCTAAAATTTAAATAGTAAATTATTTAAAAGATAAATGAGATTTTTATTCCAAATTATTTATGATCTAATTGTGTATAAATAGATTTGACGCTTATTAACTTTTGCAAACTTTTATCAATGAAAATAATCTTTTGATAAAAATGTTTTCTATATAATAGTAAAAAATAATTTAACTTTAAAATAATTCTAATTATGATATACTATATTAAAAATTGTGTGCATGGCCAATTTTATAGTATAATAGATACAATGTTTACATGTTTATCATATAACAAAACCCAATCTTAAAAACCGTCTTAAAAATTTTATAAAATGCTTTATTTTACCATAATACATTTCGAAGGTGGAAAGCAGAAAAAGTATTTTAAATTTTAATAATATATAACTAGTTACAGTAAATATATTACAGTAGTCTTTTCAATAATTAACAAGTATAATGTATCAATATAACATAACCAAATCCTACATATAAGAATTAAAATTGGGCAAAAACTGTTGCGAGTATTTTCAGTTTTTCTCTCTCCTGAAAAGTTGGTAAAATTATAGATACATAGTATTATTATTAGCATACTAATACTTCAAATACACAAAATTATGTTTTAAACTGAAAAAAATAAGAATAGAGATACTTTTAACATCACCAAATTAGATTACATTTTTTCTACTTAATGGCATTATTAAAAGAAGAATGAATTTACTAAGTAAATTAAACATTTTTATTAAAGATCTTACATGTTTTTAAAAATAAAATATCTTAATTCTAGACATTATTTGAATAAAATATTAGAGAGATAACCATTTTTGAATTAAGCTTGTCTCAAAAAAAATAATTGTACGCGACTAAAAATACTTAGATTTATACAATAATTTTTACTATAATATTAATTGATTAATCAATTTAAATATTAGATTAACAATAATACTCACTGAGTTTTAGCAGACTTCCAATCTTTTCCCCAAACATACATACCATGATTACGAACAAGAATGGCTGAAGAAGCTGGGTATTTTTTTAAAGTTTTATGAAATGTGTGAACTAAATCCCGTTCAAATTTTGAATTTTCAATAATTGGTACTATAACATCTTCATCATTATTATAAAATCGATCGAGTTCATCATTAAATATACCCTAAAAAATAATCATCAAAAAATATTATGGTTTAAAATTAAAAGTTTAAGTAGTAAACGCACAATATAGCTTAGTTAACTTAAAATTGAAAAACTATTCAAAAATGTTAAAAAATAAGAAAAAAAATTATACATCATAATTGTTTTATTATTGAATGAACATTTTGATTGACGAGAATACAATTTTTTCTTACTTTACCATCCTCCCAGAAATGAATAGTAAATCTTAAATTTCTAGTAATTTTTAGAACAAAAAAGAAAAAATAACACTTTTACAACAAAAATGCATGTAGTTGAGTGTTTAAACAATTTATAATTAATAAATATTTTTAGGTATATAGAACATAACTTTAATACAACAGACTATTATATATAAATACAAGGTTACTGTATGTTGCCATTAAAAAAAATAGAGCTAGTACCTTAACAAAAGGAATAAGGAATAGATAAAAAAATTTAAAACACTTGAAAATCGAGAAATAAATACTACTTAAATCAGCCATAAAAAAACAATATTTTAGTATGGTATGTAAAGAGTTAAGATAGTATATATTTTACTACATAATCTCTTTTTAATATTCCTTAGTTTACTCATTAATGTCTTCTTCTTCCTTGCCTTAATCCCAACTACTTGTTAATATGATATTGCTTTATTTAATTACACAATATTTAATATATAATTCTATTTAAAAGTGTAAAATTTATTATAATCTAAGTTTTAAATACTTCTATATAATTAATATTAAAATATTGTGTATCGGAAAAAGTTATAGACAACTTTTTCACCTACGTCCAGCCATAATAAAGTACAAAAATATAATACATTATTGTTTTTTAATTAATGCCTAGGACCTTCAAAAAGATTAATTTGGACATATCAATATTTAGTAATTAACATTAACTTATAAACCAAAATTCAATACGATTAGTAAATAAATGCCTAATTGGAAAATTTTGTAACATTCAACTATAAAAAATTTTAAAAAACCATTCAAAAAAATTTTAAATTAAAATTATTTTACTTTGATCATTTCAAGGCCTTTTATTCTAACTTCATTTTCAGGATTTAATAAAGATAGTTTTACCACCTCTGGAGAATGTGTATGAATCACTGCACCTGCATTACGTTCTAAAATAATAAAAATCTATTAAAATAATAATTACCTAATTTATTGTGTATTTACCATTGTAGACACATATAAAAATAGGAGTACATTGGCTTTTATTCAAAAGCTTTTCTTTTGGTGGTACTTCTAAATCTATTCCATTCATATCTTGAACAAAAATATCTTCAGATTGTATCCGTTCTTTTTGAACTCCAGATGGTGCAATATAAATATGGCCACTGTAATAAAGATATATGATTGAAAAAAATAAATATAACTTTATTTATAACAATAATTATAAATATTTATGTACTACTAAGGAATAAAATTTATAGTTAAATAATAAAATGAAGTTGTTATACCAAACACAGATACTTTAAAAAGTAAATTTTGGAAGTTATGAATATTTCTATACCTAAAAGGGAAGAGGACTGTAAAAAGTTGAGATTTTTGAATCTTTTAGCTTCGATGCGAAGCTGAGAAGGTATTGGTTTTACTAAGATGTGTTTTTTTTTGTGTCTGTTACCACTTTTTCTCAGATCTCACCGAACCGATTTCTTTCAATGATACGTCAAAAGATCACAAATCTTAAATTAAAGTTAATGTAATCTACTTTATTATGCGAAAAAAAAATTTTGGACTTTATTTTATANATGTAATCTACTTTATTATGCGAAAAAAAAATTTCGGACTTTATTTTATCTTCACGGTGAAAATGGCTACCAAATGCTATTATTATGTGAAAATTCTCGATTTTATTTTTTACATTTTTAACTTTATAATGCTATGACATATTTAAAAGTGTATGGATCAACATTATTTTTTTATAAGAAATAATATTTTTTAATAATCCCTTTTTCATTCGTCATACTTTATCTTAATTAGGATATTAATAATGAACTAGCAGATCATGTAGCTTTTGGAATAATCCACCAATTTTTTAAAATTAAACAATATCTAAAGATTTGCATCGAAGCGTTTTTTTTTGATAGTGATTTTAATCACTGTCAGATATCATTATACTTGATCCATCTATGCCACGTCACCACTGTGCCGCGACCCCCTGTGCTGGGTTTTTTATCTCATTTAGATTCAAATAACTTCAACGAATATCAAGGATAATGTAATAGGTTTCAACTAAAAAATTTAGTTTTTTTCACTCACCCTACTAGCTTTTTTTATTATCTGACCTAATACACATTTTGTAAAACACTATATTAAATTATCAATCTTAATTTAAAAAAAAGACCCATCATATTGGAGACGTGGCATAGTTGGATACAGTAAAGATGATTAAAATCACTATCATAAAAAACGCTTCAATGCAAATCTGTAGATAATTTGTTTAATTTTAAAAAATTAGTGGATTATTACAAAAGCTACATGATTTGTATTTACTTATTTGTATCCTGATTAATATAAAGTATGTCGAATGAAAGATGTATATAAATACTACTTTCATGAAAAAATTGTATTGATCCATACAATTTTTAATAAGTTAAAGCATTATAAAATTAAAAATGTAAAAAATAAAATCCAGAATTTTCACACAAATATAGCATTTGATAACTATTTTAACCATGAAGACAAAATAAAGTCAGAAATTTTTTTTTTTTCCATAATAAAGTATATTACATTACCTTTAATTTAAGATATATATAAAAGTGTCAGTATTTCACTTTCAAAAGTTAAGTTGAAAAAGTTGTCATTTTGAATACCCCCTGTGGGCAGGTAGAGAGTTAGATTTATAATAATTTTTTATAAAAAAAATATATCAAATGATAGGTAAAGACATCATTTATCTATAAAAAAAAAAAATTGAAAAAATTAGCAATTTTTAAATTTGTAAATTTTTTATAGATTTCTCCCATTTACGGAGAACGAGGGAAATTTTGTCAATTTTTGAGGGTAATGTCTTCGACTAGATACAATTTGTGATCTTTTGACGTATCGTTAAAGAAATGGGTTTGGTGAGAACTGAGAAAAATTGATAACAGACACAAAAAAAAACACATCATAGTAAAATTAATATCTTCTCAGCTTGATATTGAAGCTAAAAAGCGAAAAAATTATGTAACTAATAACCAGCTATAAAACTACTTAGGTATTACTAAGTATATTTAAAGCTCATAAACTATCATTAAGAAATATCAAACTTCAAATTGTGAATTTATTGGGTAATACAAATCCCTACAGAAAAATAACTGTAAAAAAATTTCAAGTTCTAGAATAACCCTTACTAATAAAAAAGTTTGTCTGTTAAACTAGTGATATTTACATTGTGTCCATGACTGTTCTTTCTTTAATTTATAAACTCACTTTATATATATTCCTATAAACACTGTTATTTTACTTGTATCATCTTAACACTTAGCTAATTGATAACTATAATAGACTGAACTACAATGTTCAATAAATCCTAGGAAAATTTTTTTTTTTTTGAGGTTTTTCTCCTTTATAAGTGAGTGAGTAATAAAAGTTAAAATTTTGTAATATATTTCTAAAGTAACTTTAAAAAAATTAAATACATACTTATATTTTATACTGATACCTCCGCCTGTTCCAGTAACCCACCCACTTATGTAAAATTGTTTGCATAATTCAGGTATTAGTATTCGAGGATGTTCATTTTCATTATTTTTCTGAAGTACATAAAAATAATTAATTTTATTTAAAACTTTATATAACCTATTTTTTTATTAAATATGATAATTCAAATCAGAGGTATAACCACAATTTTTCCATGAGGCTGATATCAAAAAAAAAAAAAAATGCTAATAAATGAATATTATCCAAAATATTGGCAAAGAGTGACTAATGGGAGAACTTAATCCTCTAGCTTTCTGCTAGATATTATGCCACATATTCACACACAAGTGTATTTAGAACTTTTCACATGTCATACCCAAAGGGCATATAGAAGTAAGGGGTTTTAATGCCTTTCCATTTCTCATCGTCATACATAAATAATTTAAAAGTTATATTTATCATTATAAAAAATNTCCATTTCTCATCGTCATACATAAATAATTTAAAAGTTATATTTATCATTATAAAAAATATTTTTTAAAGAAAAGTGAATTAAGTATCTCCTCAGAATTTCTTTATTTTAATTGTGTCTATATTATAGGTATTTGTAGATACGCCTGTGAATTTACATTAACTGACACATAAATTAGCAAATTTCAAATAAAATATTTTAAAATGTTTGGTATAATAAAAAACTCCATTAACACTTTAGAAGGTCACTAAATCCTAGTGGATCCAGCATGTATTCATGAGAGGTGTGGTTTAATAATGTATATATATATATATATATATATATACATAATTTATAAATAGGCAATAAGTGCAACCACCTTTTGAAACTTCACCTGGTAAACATCAAAATTAAAAAAAAAGTTTTATTTTATTATATAAAGTATTTAACAATACATATATAAAAAATGTATAGTTAAAATTATTTAGCTAGTTAAAAAATAATATTATATACATACTAAAGACATGATCTACAATTGATAATTTGTTATTAATTATCAAAAATATTACTCAATTTAGCAACTTTTAAAAAAATGGACAATGAACAAAATCACCTATAAAAATATTAAATAATACTAATTGCATTTAATTGTGGTATCTTATCACAATGCCTACATTTTCAAATTCTTGTAAAAATAGATAATATTCCATCCATTAATACTATCTATATATATACTGTATATACTATCTCTATCATACTAATAACAATTTAAAATTATGAAGTGGATTAATCTACATTGAAAATAAACATTATTATCAACAAACTCTCACATTTTTTTTTTTACTTGTTAACAGTAAAGGACATAATTAGCTCAAGAGTAAATAATTAGATACAATTTTTTTTTTTTAATATAAGTTAACTTAAATAATTAGGTAATCACAAGCACTATTATTTAAAATAAAAAATTATACATATATATATTTTACTACATATTTTAATAAAATATTAATTAAAACTAAAAAATATTCAGCTCAAAAAACATTTACTTAGAGTTTCTTTTAAAATTAAAACATTTGATTTAAATAATATTAGCCACAAGTAATGAATTTTTACTACATAATTATTATCTTTGTGTAATATATTTAACTTAATTTTAGCAAAATAAATTATATTTTATTTAAGATTTAATGTTTTTTTAAATGTCTATAAATAATTTTAACTAAATAAAAAAGTACCTGGATATGAAAGCTGCATATTTTAGTCCTTTGAGTTTTTGGAGAATTTTTCAACTCCCGATTTTTTTTCTGGAAAAAAAATACTACATAAACAAAAAAATATTTTTAAATTACTCTAGAAATATAATTAATTAATATCTACATTTACTTAATATTTAATTTTTATAATACATGAAGAAATCATTTTGTCTTTATAAATTTTATATTATATTGTATGCTAATCATACATAAATTGATTCAATTAAGAAAATTAAATTAAATTGAAAAATAATGAAAAATAAATAAACCTGTAATTTCTTTGTAGTCTTATCGCTATTCATAGGTAAAATTGTATTGTCAAAATAAGCTTTAATTCGATCATTTCTGAAAAAAGAATCACAAATGAATTAAATTAATTTATAATGCAATAAAAAATGTTTATAAAGTAATATAACATTCAAAAAAATAATAATCATAAATGAAAAATATTTTATCATATTCATCATACTGGTTTATCTTTTGAATTTTTGAATTGGAACAATATTAAATAAATTATTTTTATTTAACCATATAATTGTATTTTATTATGGTGACTGAAGTTAAGATGCGGGTGTTTTATTTTTATCGTTAATAATTTCCTGGCTTTCTTCCGCCTAAGTATAAATATAAGAATTATTTCAAAGGTACTTGTCCATAATTTGTTATCGATCAGTCATTTTCTATTTTTTTAAGATTGTTAGTTATGTATGCTGCCATTTTAAAAAAACTCAGCACAGGGGGCTCGCGACACAGTGGTGACGTGGAATAGTTGGGTCAAGTATAATGATATCTGACAGCGATTAAAATCATTATCATAAAAAACACTTCGATGCAAATCTGTAGATAATTTGTTTAATTTTAAAAAATTAGTGGATTATTACAAAAGCTACATGATTTGTATTTACTTATTTGTATCCTGATTAATATAAAGTATGTCGAATGAAAGATGTATATAAATACTACTTTCATGAAAAAATTGTATTGATCCATACAATTTTTAATAAGTTAAAGCATTATAAAATTAAAAATGTAAAAAATAAAATCCAGAATTTTCACACAAAAATAGCATTTGTTAACTATTTTAACCATGAAGACAAAATAAAGTCAGAAATTTTTTTTTTTTCCATAATAAAGTATATTACATTACCTTTAATTTAAGATATATATAAAAGTGTCAGTATTTCACTTTCAAAAGTTAAATTGAAAAAGTTAATTTTTGTGAAAAAAGAAAGACATTGGTTCGGTGAGAACTGAGAAAAAGTGGTAACAACACAAAAAAAAACACATCTCATATCATCTCAGCTTCGAATTGAAGCTAAAATAAAATTGATATCTATTATATAAGTTATCAGTTATATTCTATAAGTAATCAGTAGATGTATCAGTAGATAAATCAAGAAATTTTACAATATTTTAAATATTGTACTTCTTTTGTTCATGCTAAAATTCTTTATCAATAGATCCTATTATCATATTTCTTCAATGTTTTTACAATCAACTAAATTTATAGTTTATGTGTAAATGCCATTCATTAATATTCATAATTTTTTTATTAGCTGTCCTGTAAAATTTTGTTTACAACCTTTTGTCAGAATTTGTTAATATATAAGTTGGATTATTGGACAGGCGTAGAAAAAATCCTAGTTTTTTAATAAATACTTATATAGACACACATCTAAGACATATATTTATATCTCGTAATATTAATTTTTTTAATACATAATATAATATAAAATAGCACAAGGAAACAATACAATGTTAAGACGTTTTAATTTATTAAAAAAATATTATTAAATTATCCAAACATCAAATTTCTCTGAAACTCATTAATTATTTAATTTTTATGTATACTTCTAAAACTATTAAATCACATGTTATTTCTTTGCTGTATTATTTTTCCCAATATTTTAAAACATACTAATTTAATGTAATATCTATTCTACTTAAAGCCTATAAATCATACTTAGTTATTACAGCCAAACTTTCAGCTTCATCGACAGCTTTATTCCACTTAATCTTAAGTTTACTACGACTAATTTGTGTCTAAACATTAAAAAAAAAAAAAAATAGAATCATAATTTAAAATGTAGAAATTTATTTATTATATTTTTAACACCAAATAAAACAAACACTTTAATAATCATATTACCTATTTATAATTATATGATAAAGTTCTATTTTACTCATTTTATTTATTTGATTTAAATTATTAGAACGCCTAAGTTATTAAACCAGATTTTTTCATTTTTTTTAAATTTCACATAGACCAAACATAAATTTCTAAAGATAATTTTGTAACTTATTTTGTCTCATTTTAACACTTAAATTTAATTTATATATATTTATTCTTGTATATATTTTTTACTTAATCTTATCATAACAATAAAAATTAACAAACTCAGAGAAAACACTAAAATTAAGTAAAAAAAACACAGCACAGTGGGTTTGCGGCATAGTGGAGACGTTGCATAGTTGGGTCCAGTATAGATTTAAACTGAGAGTGATTAAAATCACTATCATAAAAAACGCTTCNAATCTGACAGTGATTAAAATCACTATCATAAAAAACGCTTCGATGCAAATCTGTAGATAGTGTTTAATTTTAAAAAATTGATGGATAATTACCAAAGCAACATCAACTTCTATTTCCTTAATTATACCCAGATTAGTAATTCTTTTAATTATAAATTATATAATTTGTTAAATTAATTGTTTTCAAATTATTATTGATTTTGATTTTTAATATGTTAGAAGTAATAATTTTGAACCTACTTTTTATTATCCTTTAAAGTGAAAGTTTTATTAAAAAAAAAAATGAATTTATTACCATAACAAGTAGCTCAATTTGCAAGTTTGAAATTAACATAATTAAATAGATAAAAATGAAATTGTTAAGATTAATATGCAATCAGGGAATTTTATAATTACTATTTACAGTACATTTATCAGAAAAGTTCAATTTTTTTTTACATTTTTATCGTAATAGATAATTGAAACAGAAATAATAGTAATCATTTCCCAATAACTTTTGGTGTTGAAATAGATTCTGCAATTNCATTTCTAATTAACTTTTGGCGTTTAAAAAGATTCTACAATGGAAATATTCAGAATTTAATTAATTTTAATGATTATATATCTAAAAAAACCAATAAAAAAAAAGTTATTCAATTTAGCCTATTATAAAAATAATAATTATAAAAAAAAAGGGCAGTGTATTGCCCTTATAATATATTTTAAAATAAAATAAAATACAAAACCCAGGATTTTAACACAAAAATAGCATATTTTTTAATACGCTAGCCATTGGCGCACAGAAGATAGGTTGTCGGGACAAATTTTTTTTTTTAATTTTATAGTACATGATATAAGCTTTAATTTGACATATGTTTAAAGGACACAGTATTTCCGGAACACATACAAAAGTTAAANAGTATTTCCGAAACATTTTCAAAAGTTAAATTGAAAAAGTTCTATTTTTTATACAATTTTTCAAGTTTTGAACGCCCCCTATATATGGGAAAATTGTCCAATTTTAATAAATAGTATGTCAAATAAAAGATGTACTTATAATGTATTTAGAAACAAAAATTTGTGCTGATACACACATTTTTTGAAAATTTATAGCATTTTTAATTTGAAAATTTAAAATCGAAAATTTTAACACTAAAATAAAGTTTATTTAACTACGGCAGTCGTTTTTTATATTACATAAAATAAGCTTTAATTTAATATATGTTTAAAGGATGCAGTATTTCCGGAACATTTTCAAAAATGAAGTTGAAAAATTTAGTTTTTGTAAAAAAGTTGCTATTTTACCCAACCCAACCTGTGAGCAGAATAAGTGTTAGATTTTCAAAAAAATGATATCAAATGAAAAGAAAATATCTAAGGTTTTAGTATAAAAAAAATATGTTGATTTGTTGATTTTTAAAAAGTTATGGAAGTTTTAAGAAAATGACAAAATTTAACAATTTTAAAAATTGTAATTTTTTTGGAGATTTTCCTTATTTACGGGGAACGAGGAAAAATTTTACAATTTTTTAAGAGTAATGTCTTCAACTAGATACGNTTTTCATCGTAGTCGCACGACGACGACGACGACGACGACGACGACGACGACCACCACCACCCCATTTACGGTAAAACGTATTTCCATTTCGTTATAAAAATGACGACGACGACGACGAGGAACGGCGAAACTTTTTATCGAAAAAAAAAAAAAAAAAAAAAAAAAACGCACATTATGGTAAAATTAATACCTTCTCAGCTTCGCATCGAAGCTAATAGTAATAAAACTTCTTAAAAATTTTATAACAATTTTTTCAAAATATGAAAGACTTTTAAAATATTTTAATCTTAGTCAATATATTAAATCTATAAAAATAATAGGTTTACTTACAATTAATTTAGGAAATTGAGTTACTACTTTTTTTCTTCCAGCAAATTCAAATATTTGATTTTCTTTTATCCAACTTCTCTTTTGCAAGTCGTTACAAAAGTATAAATGTAACATAAGTGTACTATTTTCTTCTAAAAAATATATTAGTTAACATATAAAGTGAGAGAATTTAATAAATATGTGAACAAAAAAAAATCACATGATTCTACATACTTTTAAAAAAAATGTTTTCATCAGGATCGTTGACTATAATCCCAGGCCATACTGGATATTTACCCATTTTAGCCCAAACAATATCACCAATACAATAATTACTTAAGAGTAAATGATTTTTATCACTAAATTGACCACTTTTTGATGAACAAATTTGTTTTTTCTTTTTTTTTATAATATAATTATCTTTAGGAATACAAGTTGAAGAGGATATAAATTGTTCACTAAATTTGCGCTTAGTGGATACTCTACCAAATCGGCTTTTATTAATCTGTTTACTTGCATTTTTGTTCATTCTATAAGAAAATATATCATTGTTACAAACTATAATTTAAATTAATTTGAATTCATCAATATTCTAGATTAATTCTGTTAGTAAAACTTTTTTTATAAAGTGTGATTATATTAGTGTTAGCCTTGTAATATCTCCTAAAATTATCAATTCTGGTTTTTTCAGTAACTAATATTTCTCGATTTATCAATATAGAAGTATTGTTTAAGTATTTTTCAACCGCGTTTTTCTATCCTAGATACATAAATGATAATCACTCCTTAAATACTAGTTTAAAAATTGATTTTGAATAGTCATTTTTTTTTTTATTAAAATATTTTCTAAAAAGCTGGTTAAATATTTATGTTTTCATTTGAAAATTGATGTCTATCATAAGGAATAGACTTATAAAAATACTTATTTATTAGTAAATTAAGAAAAGCATGAAATTAAAAAAAGCTAAAAAGCTAACTCTTAATATTGTTATTTTTTCAGGAGATATTAATTAAAACGTAAAAAAAGTACCCTATATAGGCCAGTCAACGAAGGAGTAATTTTAGCGAATGGCTGAAAAAATTCCCAACCAAATTTTTTTTTTTTTAAAGTTGAATTAAGATATATATAATGACATACTAAAAGTCCTCATCGATTGGACTTGAGCTTTTTTTTTTACAGCCTTGTAAAAGTTAAAAAATATGAGCTTTTTTAATTTTCTCAAAAAATATTTAACTTACAAAAAATTCGTACAAAAGTTGTGTTAAAAGACAATTTTAAACAAAAAAAGTATCTTATATTTTTCCATTTAAACAAATATTTTTCGAGTTACATTACATTTAATATGAGTACTAAAATTTATTTTCCAATTTTTGTCATTTTACGGTTACTTTTTATCATGTTACACTTACATTAGACACAATGTTATAAATGCATGTGTGTGTATGTGTGAGTTTATTTATTTATAGTATCATTAAAGTGTAATGTATATTAAGATACAATCGATAGAGTAGGTAATTGATTTGACGCTATATTGTTTAAAACCGGAATTTCTGGTAATATTTTTCTTTTTCTTTGCCTTAATTCCAACTACTTGGGGTCGGCCACCCTCATCCTAAACTCCCACTTAACACAATCTCCCACATCTTCTACGCTCACATCAGCTGTTCTCATATCGCATTCAATAACATCCCTCAATCTCTTTTTTGGCCTTCCTCTACCTATTCTTTCTTCAACATTCATTTCTAAAACTGTCCTTACAGATTCCGATTCTTCTCTCCTCATAACATGACTAAATCATCTAAGTCTATTTTTTCTCATCTTATCCACGATTGACGCTACACTTATACTCCCTCTTATATGCTCGTTCCTTATTCTATCTTTTCAAGTCACTCCACTCATCCAACTAAGAATTTTCATCTCTGCTACACTCATTCTCTGCTCTACTTTCTTATTAACCGCCTAACACTCTGAACCATACATCATAGCTGGTCTCACTACATTGTTGTAGAATTTACCTTTTAGCCTCATTGGAATTCTTTTATCGCATAAGATACCAGACGCTTCTCTCTACTTCAACCACCCGCACTTAATCCTGTGTCTTAAAATCTCGTTAATACCACTGCTCATTTGTACTACTGATCCTAAATACTTAAAACTTTATACCTCCCCATTCACACTCTCGCCTATTGTCACTGATCTCTTCATTTCATCTACTTCATGTTCTCTTTTGTCAACTTAGCCAGAATTTCTGGTAATGATAAAATTAATTGTCATAAAGTGTCTAAAATTGGTCTTGTTCTAGTAAACTCAATGGTGGATAATAACTTTCATGATATAAATCTTAAAAGGTTAAATAAAATTATAACTGTATCTTCAATAACTTCTATTGTTAAAATTAATAATGAAATAATTAAAGTAAACCCATTGCTACTACTTCAACTAATCGCTATTTAAAAAAAAACCAGCAGTGTCCCGGCACAGTGTGTATAATTAGTTGCAGAATAGATAATATGTGACAGTGATTAAAGTCATTATCAAAAAACAACGCCTTGATGCAAATCTGTAGATAGTGTTTAATTTTAAAATTTTAACGGATTAATATAAAAGCTACATGATTTCCTATTTCCTTATTTATATCCTAAATACAAGTTATATGCATAACTAGTACAAAGTATGTAATCAATGGAGGATTTCTCCACTATAAAATTATTTGACAAATGTATCAAAAAATTTTTTTTTCATTTTCTTATTCATTTTCCCATTCTAAATTTGATAGAATATATCTTCAACAAAAGTACAATTTTCTTAATCTTCAATCTTTATTTCTATTGAATTTGTACGCCATTTACCTTTACAATGTTCACATATAATAGAACATTTAAGCCCTGTTTTTCGGCAGCCACAATTTTTACCAGCTCCAGCACCTGACTAAAGGCCATTTTATGACAATTATCTATTATTAGCAGAAATTCCGGTGGCAATTGACATAATTAAATTGTTGTTTGAGAATGTACAATTTAGCGTTTAGTTGGGTTTAAACAATATAGCGTCAAATCAATTACCTACTCTATCGATTGTATCTTAATATACATTACACTTTAATGATACTATAAATAAATAAACTCGAAAAATATTTGTTTAAATGGAAAAATATAAGATACTTTTTTTGTTTAAAATTGTCTTTTAACACAACTTTTGTACGAAACTTTTTTTTGTAAGTTAAATATTTTTTGAGAAAATTAAAAAAGCTCATATTTTTTAACTTTTACAAGGCTGTAAAAAAAAAAGCTTAAGTCAAATCGATGAGGACTTTTAGTATGTCATAATAAATATCTTAATTCAACTTTAAAAAAAAAAAAAAATTTGGTTGGGAATTTTTTCCGCCATTTTTCCTTCGTTGACTGGCCTAATATACATAAATTAAACTTTATTTTAATAATGAAAACTTACAATTTATACAGTAAAGTAAAATGAAAGTGTTAAGAATCAAAAGTTCACATCACAGACAACTTAAAATATTAATTAAATATTTATAATAATAAAAATATACCTATTAACAGTGAATTTTCATAAATGTACGTTCCACAAAATAGCTAAAATATTAATTAATAAAAATGTAATAATTGAAAATAACTCGAAAAACAAATTTTTTTGGAAAGGCAGAATAAATCAGATTTTTCTTAAGAAGTATTACTAGTTAAAAATTAATACAATTTATACTTTTTATATAGTTTAATAACACAAAAATCACAACAAATTTTTTTTTTATTAAAAGTAATGAGTTGTCAGTTAAATGTGTTCCTCCACACATTATATATTTATTTATTAAAACAATTACTTAAGTTATGTCAGTAATCTAAATTTTAAACAGTTAAAGATAGCCAAAGTATTTTAATTGTAATATTTTAATGTTAATAAAACTAAATAAAATATATAGTTTCAAGAATTTAATCATCACTTAAATATGGGATTATAGAATAATTTATTATTACAGAGAAAGATTCTTAACATTGTACCCTAAATTTTTAAACTTAAGATGATATAAATGTAAAAAATCCATCAATTCTATTTATTAATAATATTTGTTATAAGATAAAAATATTTCTTTCTTCATTTAGGTAACATTTTTCAGCTTCAATTCAAAGCAGATAAGACATTTAAATATCACTCAAGTATTCTGATTCATTCAAAAATAATTCTTTAATAATACTAGATCTAAGATAAAATCTTATGGGATAGTCAAAAGGTATTAAAACTTAAAACCATTGAAATAATAAAAAAAAAATTTGTTTATTTATTAATATTATTAAAAGTATCTATTACATAATACAAATTCTAAATTTTAATGATGTATTTTACTGTAATACTTCTATTTAAACTCTTTTATATTTAAATAAACATTTAATAAATGTCTTAATACTTACATATTTTTATAAAAGTAAGTAGGTAACCATTAAAATTTGAAATATAAATTAAACTTTTTTTTATTTTTGTTGTAAAATGCAATATTCCATCAATATTTTGAATTAATAAATATAAAAGAATTTCAAAAAAACTTTTGTTCAGCTAACATAAATTTCTTATCACTTCTAAATTTATGATTATAATTCAAAGACCTTTAATAATATTAAGAGGTTTAACAATTATACGAAGACATAAATATTGAAATGATAAGCTCTAAGACGGAATAGTATTCTGATGTCTATAATTCTCATACTTAATCGCGTGATTAGAGTATTGACATAGAAAATATTGAACATTTCTATTTTAGTTTTAAACCTAAATTTTAAATAAATTAAGTTATGTTACAATTAAATGTATTAAAGTAAGAAGTCCAAAGAAGACCCATCGTCCTACTATCTTGACAACACTTAACAAGCGTTACTATTAATACTTATTAGAAATATTAGTAATTATTTGGATAAATGGAACACTTAAAATGGAATAGAGATCATTAAATCATTAATTAAATACAATTTTGTTATTTTAGTCTTTAGCACTTAATCCTATTATGCCAACTTTTTTTAACATGTCCTATTCATTAAGCTTAAGAAAAGTATTATAAATTTTAATTCTTTGAAAATTATAGAGTAATCGCTTTTAAGTACCAATAAAAATGTAAATAATACGTCTCAACTTGAGTTTATAGAGACTACAATTCTTTAGCTAGTTAAAGAATTCAGATTATGACAATTAAAAACAAGAAATTATTATTATCATGATTCTTACTTAAACTTCAATATTTTAAATAAAAATGTTTAAAATCAATTAAATGATTGATAATGTGTTGCATTATGATTAAAAGGATAATTCTTAATTAAATAATTCAAATTAATAAGTATCAAATCATCATAGGTGATTTGTCTTTCATTTTGAATATTTTTTCAGAGTGTACGACGTACACGCGCTTTCGTATTGATATTTATTATCGTATTAAGTTGTTACCTCTAAGCATTTAAGGAATATCCTCTTCCCTTTCCACGTCACAATATTTTGTTAAAGCATACAAAATATGAAGCTTAAGGTTCATATTTTATCATTCAATTGAATGATACTTATGACAAAAGAGCCTTATTTAAATTTGGACCTATATCTTCTATAGGTATGTATAAGAATTAAAACTCGGGGAAGGAACTAGAGCCTGTGAGTGTTGAAGCACTCTATAGTCCCCCAGTAATTGTGCCACTAACCTAAATAATTATTTATCATGTAGACCAAACGGGGCCTTTTTATTAATAAAAAGAAAAAATTAGCTGTTATTTAAAACTAATATATGTTGGTTATATATAATAAGTATTAGTTCCTTATATTTATGAGCTAGCGATGATAACAAATAGCAGTAACAGCTATTTAATAATAATATACAAAAAACATACTGCTATTTAATAGGGATATCAGCAGTGATTGCTTAAATTTGTATTATAGGTTGTTTGTTGTTTCTCACACGGCTAATTCAAACATCAGCTGTACAAAATAACAAATAAAAATAAATAAATTTATTTATTATTAAAAATAAATAAATGATTAATTATATGAATATAATTAATTTATATATTATAATAAACACATTCTTAGATAGACTTGTTTCAAGCTAACGAAGTCCAGATTAATGATGAAAAAAATAACAGTACTATGCTAATATATTACTATACAGTTAAAAACTGGAGAGACCGTTAAGATATCAATATAAATAATGATGTAGTCATAGAAAAATTAATACATTATTTATTTTACTGTGTCAATATCTGCTAAATTTTAATAACATTAGCATTAGCAGTTACTATTTAAAATTATAACAAATTACCGTCAGTATAATCATATCAAAATGGATATTCATTGTACTATGAGTATAATGAACCAATGATTTGCTTTCATACGAAGACCGTTACAACAAGTTTTTAAGGATATTCGCCACGAGGACAACGTCATAGCTCATGGAAGATAAAAACGACAGAGTATACAAAATATTCAAATACTAACCAATCGGGTACTTACATAGAGCGTCCTCAGTGTAAACATCATTGTTTATTTGCTTTGCGGTGTTTTGATGATAAACAGTTGAAATTCCCTCGTTTTTGCTTAGCAATAAATTTGTGGCACTCTTCGATCAATTTTCAAATATAATTTTCAACTGCCACGTATTAACTTACTTGAAGTCTGGACGTCGAAATATTTAAAGGTAATTAATCATTTTAAGTTAAGCAATTTTTTTTAATGCATTAGGTGAAACCGTTCATTTAATAACGTAAACTAGTTATACATTTCATTCACAAATTATTGTATTAAATTTTATTTATCTGCACGGAATAAATATTTTAATTTTTTAAATACTACTTATTACAATGATGATTTATTTCAAATATTAAATTGTTTGCTTGTTATACTGTTTTTACCTATCAGTTATACATTAAAATGGCGGGGTTTTGTTTCCAATCGCCATAGGTGTTACTTGTTTAACATATAAATTCATTAACTATTTTTATTGGTAAAAAATGTTATACAATAATTATATTATAATATAATAGTTAACATCATCAATGTTTACATAAAACTAATTTTCTTTAGATAATGTTATTAGCTAATTTTTTTTTTTTTAATGATAACTAATATTGTTCCTAGAATATTTTGAAAATTCCATATATGTTTTTAAATCAATCTATGTTTTCTTTTTCTTTTTGCAATTATTTTCAATCTGCTCTTATCAACTCGTACTTTTTATCTAATTTTCATAACGCTTATTTGTGCCAATAACACAAACAATTTCTATCTGTACTCTTCTTTCAGTCTAGTTATAAAAATGAAAATTATATCTGAGGTACTGGTCCAAAAGTCATTATAGATCAGTCATTTTTTGTTTTTCAAACTTGTTATGTATGTTACCATTTAAAAAACTAAAATTGATACCCCTATTAGTTATATGAAGATGATTTTAAATAGTAACTAAAAATACAACTAATAAAACTAAACATTTTTTTTTAATATTGTACTTATTTTTGAGTAATCAAGTGATTTATGATAAACCGATCACCCTTGTACACATGTAATTAGTATTAATTATTAAAAATAAATTTTTTTTTTTAAGTTTACCATGCTAACTAGGAGATCTCGTAAAGAAGCACCCACTTCACCTCAAAGCCCAAAAAAGAAAACTGATGTTCTTTCAAAATCTCCTTCCAAAGCTAAAAAAACCACTCCAGCTCGTGGAAAAAGTAAATCTGTTGAAAGAAAAGCTAGAACTCGATCAAGATCTGCAAGCAAAAAAAATACCAGTATTCCAAGACTGATATTAGAAAAAGTTGATGTCAGTGATGTTAAAAATTCAGATAGACCTAAACGTAAAAATATATACTTATTATTTATTATAAAAATTACATATTTGATAAAACTAAAATTCATGATTAATAGGGAAAAAATCAGCCGAGTCGCCGAAGTTTAAAAAAAGTCCTACTCCGGTAACTGAAGTTAATGACAAAAGACAAAGTGTTAGCCCGTATGCCAACAAATCAAATGAAAGTCTGGTAATGTGTTGTTCAATTGTGTTAACCTATATAAACTACATATTTCTCGTGCAATATCTTTAAAAGTATAAGATGAAATATAATTTTTTCAATATAATTAAACATGCATTTCTCCATTAAAGAACTCATGTTTATTTCAAATTTAGGAAAACAAAGGGGAATATAATTATACATTTTTATGTTGATTAAAGTGCATATCATAATAACAACTTTTAAAAAGATAAAATAACATTTTATCTAATAAAAATAAAAAAATTTCTCTTTAATGAAGTTATTTATTCTCCATCAATATATGTTCATATTGTAGTCTGTAATTATTGATGGTTTGTAATAGAAACTGTTTTTCTTCATCATGAGTTAATATTTTATTGTAATCTTGCATAAGTTTTATGTCTCTGCTATATATCGTTTGTCACAAGACGATTAGACAAAACTTTCAAATCTTTTTAAAAATCAGGATTTTTAACCCAGCTATGATGTTTTTTTTTTTTATTGTCTCATTAAAAAACGTATAAAATAATTTTTTCTTAAAAATTTATTGAAAATTAAATTTCAAACCACTTTTACATGAAATTATTTTGTTATAACTTGAATGATTTGTAGTATATATAAATTTAAATTGCTGAAATATATAAATTTTACTAATTAACATAATATTTTGTGGAACTTTTGACTTTTGAAGGGTAAATTTTGACTTATGACTTATTCACTAAGTACCATTTTTATGTGAAATTATGACACATAATTTATTATAAACTATATGTAAATATTATACATTTTGAGATAAAACACAATAACTGAAAAACTACTTTTACGATCGAATTTTCAACTCCCATTGCCCCATGTGTTAATGTCGACTTATTCAGACTAAATTTTGTACAGCTTATTTTTTCATGTCGTCTAACAGTTTTTTGGTGTGTGTAAATTGAATTTTGAAAATTAATATATCAATGATCATTTTAATTTACATGTATAATAAGCTAATAAAAGTTTTATATTTTATTTTTTTTAGAAATCTGGTAGACAATCTAGATTAAGGTCATATAATGATGATGAAGATTACAATGGAAAATACAAAACATCGGGTGGAACTCAGTTTCCAAAAATTATATTTGATGGTGTATTAGGCAATGTTGTGCTAACATTATTTCTACCAGCAATAGTGATTCTTGCAAAAATTGCCCTAAAAGCGGTAAGCTAAGTTTTTTAAATGAAAAAAAAATTTAATGAAAACTTATTGTAATATTAATATTAGAAAGGGGACTTAATTCCATTTCCTCGAGGCTACTTAAGACTAGGTAACTACTATGATGAACAAGCATTTTTGTGGACAGCTGTTATTGTTTGTATTCAAATCTTAATATCATTTATACCATTATCTAAAAAAACAGAAGGATTGAAAGATGAATTTGTACCAAGGTTTTATAGATTTACAGGTATGTTAATAGGATAAATCCTTAAAGAACTTTAAAGAATTTTTTATTCTTTTAGGATTTGTTAATTTAATTTTTGGGACTTTAATTGTAATTGGAATGATTTATTTCAATTGTCCTTTAAATGTTATTTTGGATATTGTTTCAAAGAAAACTGTACCTCATGTTGTTGCATCAACTTTAATTGCACTTGTCGTGTCAATAATTATATATATAAAGGAACAAAAAGTTGGTTCTAAAAGTTTTCTATCTAAGTTTTTGAATGGAAATAGTAATAACCCTACTGTTGGCCCTTTGAATGTTAAACTGACTTTGTACAGATATTCAATACTATTGACTGTAAGTAATTATATTATTTCTTTGTATTTCTAGTTTAAGAAGTACTAATTTTGAACTTTAAATATTATATTAATTTTTTGACAGGTTTTGTACAACTCATTGGTGATTTTGGAATCTCTTAAAAATTCAATCAATATATATCTTATTGTTCTATCTGGAATGCAAATATTATATGCAATAGATAAACTGTTATTTGAATTTAATCTATTATCTTCATTTTATTTACAAAGAGAAAATGTTGGATTATTATCTATCTTGCAACAATTTTTACTTCCAGCTATTAATTTTTTACCAATACAAATTTTATTATCTAAAAATATGTAAGTACTACTAATGAGTATCTAATTAGAATACATCATGTAAAATGTATTTAAATATTGTTTAGACCTGTCAATTTTATACTACTTGGTATTGTATCTGTTGTCTACTTATTTGGATTAATCCTTCAGCGCTATAGTGACTATATAAAATACAAGTATAAAACCAACACTGCACAAGCTAGAAATCCAGCTGGTAAGTTATCAAGTTGTAGCCTAATCATATGAATTTGTTTTATATTATCTATTTATTTTTGTAGGTTTAAAAACAGTTATTACTATGAATGGAAAAACTATAATTGTTGGTGGATTTTGGTCCTTAATTAGATTTCCTAATTACTTGGGATGTATTCTAGTCCATTTGGCTATTATCTTACCTGTATTTGATCCTACTTTAAGTAGTTTACAAATGTTGTGGCCTGTTTTACTTTACCCATTGTATTACATTGTAACCTTAGTATTTAGAAGTATTAAAGTTTCAGAGTATTGTCAATTGCAATATGGATATGCCTGGGATCATCAGTATGCAACTAAATGGAACTTAATACCAAAAATATTTTAGTTTTTTTGAGATAACATTTTTTTTGTAATATCTTAATTTTAGTATAACTTATTAGTTCGAAAATTTTTTAATCAATTTGATTTCACACTAGCGTATAATTTTTATTTATATTAGATTAGGGTTTTCAAAAAATTTCCTACCTTCATGACAACTAAATTTTTTTTTTTTTTTTCATTATTTATCCTTTTGATTACCTACTAAGAAAAGTTTTTTATAGGTAAAGCTTTGGATTTAGGTATTTCTTTGTGTATAAGTAGATGTTGTATTTACCAATCAATGTAAATGTTACATTTAATGTGCATGCAATGTGTAAATACAAAATGCCTCTCTGCTTAATTATTGTATAATGTTATTGCTCTATGTGAATATTGATAAACATTAATTTTTTATACTACTTAAATATATATTCACTCATTTTGAATGCCATTGTCAAATTTATTTTATTAAAAAACTTTGTATCATAAATTGAATGTATTATGTATTAAGAATAATTGTTGTAAATAACAAATGTATTAATTATTAGTCTTCTAAATTATGTAGTATTATACTATTTTAAATTGAATGCTATTTATGTAAATATTAGAAATAAAGTATATTTGATTAATATATTCTAGTATTACTAATCTGTTATTTATTTGTCCTCTCCATAAAGTTACAATTGGTGTCTAAAAACTGTATCTTAGTGTATTGTTTACGTAGAATATTAATTTTTCTTTGTTTTACATAATATAATTAAAAAACTAAAATATAGATTTAGTAAATAAATAATAACATTTATCAAAAATCACCTAAATACGGTTGCAAATTAGTTGTGCTTAAATTAACATAATGATAATTCAGAAGAACCGTCGCTAAATATCACAAGGTCTCCTTCAAAAAACAAATTTTTTTAGTCTACAATTTAATTTGCAAATCTTTGAATGTGCCTGGGTACATCATCACAATTTCTTTGTCCTCGCCAGATAAATACAGCTATTAAGCTTTTTTACAGAATCTAGTATTCCATAACATGTTTTCTATATAAATAAATTATTTACGTCCCATCAATATTTTTTTATACGATCATTAAAAGCTGTATAATATAAATAAATTACTTTTCTTTTTTATTTCTAGTACTTCAAATTTTTGCAGTTTTATTTGAAAAAGTAATAAATATTGGTACGTCAAAACCTAAATTATAGTCCTAAACCAAACAGAATCTGCTACAAGACACATTAAAATACAGAATTGTTTAATGTATTTGATGTCTTGTAAATTTTTATTTCAATATTTCCTTAAAATAGAAAAACGAAAACTCGAAAATATAAATTATAATCTATATTTTGTACAATAGTATGATGTTATTACTTAATATTATAATACATAAAATATTACAATTAATTAACTCTTTATTTTTAGATATAAAGCATCTCTATTGGTAAATTATGTTGTTTCTTAAAATTATTTTTCTATAACTAATAATTATCCAGGAAATAAAGAACTGGAATTAATATGAGATGATATCATAGTAGAAACTGCAGAATTATTAAATTCAATAAAACTATTATTTGTAAATCCATTATTATTATTGTTAAATTGTAAGAGAGAATTTTCTATTTTATGATGATTAATACTGTTAATGCTGAATGGATATTCAATTTCCATGTGTATTACCTTGTCTAAAATGTAAGCAAAAATACTTCCAGCAGTTGTTCCAGTAATGTACGATAATGTCATGATATTACCTATAAATTAAAAACAAATTGTTTGTGTAATGAGTTTTTAACGCGATATTGCGTCAAAAACTCATTTATATATTTATAAAATATATATAATTTTTTTATTTGTATATATAAGCTTGGTTGAACGCATAGTGAAGCTCGAGGTCTAAAATTTAAATAAGACATCTATATCATAGACACCATTTAAGCTTTGTATTTTAATAATAAGTTTAGAGGTACCACAATTTAGTGACCTGGTTAGTATGGTCTTTCTGGCTCCCTAAATAAGAGTTTGAATATGGTATATTCAGATTGACCGTAATTTTCCAATTAAGATTTTAAGACACTTATTTTTAAGCGTCAATAAAAAAAAGAGAGTATTTGTCATTTATGATAAAAAACTTACCAGCAAGTTCACGATGTCCATCGTTAACTTTAGCTGATGCAAATATCATTGGGACACTACCAGTGATTCCATTAGTTACACCAAGCACAGCAGTTTGCATGAAAATTAAAAATTCACTTACAATCTTCGTGTGAAATGGATGCTGAACAATAACTATCAATAAAATACTTGGAATCATGAGAAGACGAGTTTTGGTATTTCTTAAAATCTTATCATCCCAACACTGGTAAAAATAAGCGCTCAAAATCTATAATAGTTTAACATTATTATAAATGTTATTAAATGAAACTACTTTAAAAAAATGTACTACACCTTTCCCATAAGATCGAAAACATTAAATACTGTCATCACAAGCACCGACATCCATGTTCCAAATCTTGGACTCATCAAATCTGATAAAACTCCAGGATATATGCTTAAAGTTACAAAATAACATAAGAAAATTGACAACATTTGTTTCCATATGAGTTTTGAAACTTCAACTCGTAACAAGTATCCATCTATAAGATAATCATAGTTTGATCCATAGTAAATATATTATCTTTAATCAGTGGTACATCACCAGTAAGTTATGCTCTACTTATGACTTTTCAATTATAAGAGAGGAGGGCGGGCGAAGTGCGTAAAGCTCTGTAAAACACCCTCCATCGTCCAGAGGACAAAGTGTCGGTGGATATCGGGCAAGTCGTCACCAAATTAATACAGGAGGCAAAAGACGTGGAGGTTTCGGTAGGGCTGTTCCTCCGACTCGCAGGTCTGACCAGTGTCCGTATTGGATGGACAGGCTGTAGACGAGGATCCTTGGCGATAAGGGTCAAAGATACAATAGGTACCTAGAGTACGGGCACCTGCCAAGGAACTGTCCTGACACTGAGCTTTCTCGAGGCGGCTGACTCAAAGACCGCTAGTCCACTAATGGAGTGGAGGAGAAGGTGGCCAGACGAGTGGAGTGCGTCAGGATTAGGCACTTCATGAAGCGCTTCAACCGTTGGTCTCGGGCCTCGGAGTCCTCAGATTCGTGAGCTTGTGAAGTTGGTGTACGACAACCCGTGGGAGAAACCCTATCGAGTCACAATATGGAAACTACGCAGGCCACCGATTTCGGTTCAGCTGGGGGCAGATGCATTGGAGCGAATGGCGGAGAACTATTCCTAACGCATTTGCAGCTAACTCTCTTAGCGATCGGGGGACGACGTGTTGGTGGAAGAATTCACCATACAGGATTTGTGTACCTCGCAGAATGATCTGAACCGTGCCCAGATTGACAACAGGCATTCTGTTGTCACTGTCGCCCGCTGATCTACTAGCGAAGGAGCGAGCCATCGAACACAAACTTCACTAAGAGCGCGACCGGCTAGAACTTCGACGAACAACAAGCCCACCCTCGGAGGAGTCGAGAAGCTAGTAGACCAGATCCTTCGTTGGACCCGTCCGCCTGGATAAGTGCGTAGATCGCACACACGATGAGATGATTCATTATCGTCTCACGCAGGTGATGTTCGGCCACGGCTGCTTAAGCGAGTACTTCCGCGGTATTCGTAAAGTAAAGACGCTGTCGTGTGACTATTGTACGAATGTCTGAGAGAGGTAGACAATTACCTGCACACCCAGTGCGAGACGTGGACCCATGAACGGGATGCATTAGAATTACGTTTAGGGTCCACATTCGTCGTCGGGTCTATGGTGCACCAGATGTAATAAATCGGGAGGCGTGGTCTATGATCTAGGTCTTCGGCAAAACGGCCATGAACCGTAAGGAAATCGGCCAAACGCCAGGGGAGGCCGTATTATGACACAGCTTTTAATTAAGTTCGGGTTAAATTTTTCAAAAAATCGTACTAAAAGAAAACTAATTATCTCTAGTATACTCTGTTAAAATCTCATTTAGATCAGTGTTTAAAAGAAAAGTTACATCTATTTTAAAATGCACAAAATAATTTTTTACGTTAGCGTAAATTTGAGATATTTTTTTGAACTTCAAAAAAATGTTTTTCAAATTTTTTATCTCTATTGGTTCAACTAGATTTAAATCGGGTTTAATTTTAGTGTGTTATTCATTAAAATCGGTTCCGTGAAAGCTGAAAATTGATGGACAAACATAAAAAATTACACACTATCAAAAAAACCAATACCTTTTCAGCTTCCCACCGAAGCTAACATTTTAACAACAAAATAACTTAATATAACTGAGATCTCGAGATCAAAACTAGCACCAAATAAATAAAAAATAATTTACCTGCAATAATCATTATTAATACATATTATAGAATATATCTAATTGATTTACTATGTTAATTTAATATTAATGGCTTCACTTACTTTTTACTTTATCCCACATTTTAAAAATTGTCGATTTTCGAATTTTGAATGAATTGCTTGTTTCTATGTGAACCATAACGTCTTCGACTTTATAAGTAGGAAAATTAGCATTAGGATCATACATAGGATTAGCAAAACTTAATGAAGTATCGTCATTAGAAAATATTTTTCCTGTACTAAGACTAGTCTCTGCAAACGTTTCAGATTGATTTAGGTCTGGATCTACCTAAAACAAATACATAACATTTATAATATAATTTTTTATTATATATTCAAAATAGGTAATTATGTTTTGACAGGAATGTTTTTTTTTTAACGATAGTTACATTTATAGTAAAATAATACATTGTGTACAGAATATTCAAAAAGTATGGAAAAGTGTTTTTATCATTTCTGTTTACTGTAACAATCAACCTGGTTTCTAAATTATTGAACATTATGTATACTACATACTTCAGTAGACAAAAATTAAAGTTATAAATAATTTCTAATTTATTAATTTTAAAACGCAGTCTAAAATTTATAAGTGGAAAATGAATAAATTTTACTTCTTTGAAAAAAGATAAATATGCTCTAAATTTAATTTAGATTTATAAATTTCCTTTCCTAAAAAAATATTTTCATATTTCAATATAAATAAATTTTTTGAAAATGTAATGGCTATGACAAAATGGCTGACAATAACATATTTGGGACTTTTAATCCTTTTAAATATCCTCTTTTCGAACTTTTTTTTATAAGCTAATCAAAATTTTGATCGGTTAGGAGTATATTCGGACAGTTACTGAGTAACTCGACTCCATTTACAAACATTTTCAAAATTACATTTAAGTTATGAGGTCAAACTTGTTAGTATTGCGTAATTGTATTCGTTATTTTTAAGGAGTTAGTCGATAACTGGGAAGGTTAGTGTCCTAGACCCATTGGTTACACATATGCTGGCTAATTGCCTGCAAACGATATAATATTCTTAATTAGAAAAGGATCTATAATTAATTGTTTAGAAGATAAAATATATATTGTTATAAATACTTTTGTGTTTTTATAAAACTAAATTTAAAAATTATATTATTATTATTGGTTATTGTTTAATAAAAGAATTATCAGATACGCAATTTTTTGAATAAAAAGTTTTTTGTTAATAAAAACACTGACCTATGCCCTGTTTATGTCGATAATATGCATTATATAAATTTGGGAGTTAGACATTAACATTAAAAGAAAGATAAATAATTTGTATCAGCGCTGAAAGATTATAATAGTATTTGAAATTTACACCAAAGAGTATTTACATATTCTTCAGTTGGTTCCAGCGATATCTTTTTTTTTGAGTCTTCGCTACGGTCTATGTAAAATTTAATGAAATCGGTGTTTTGTATTATTTGAAAGAAAACGCATGATGCCATTACAACGCCATGGCTGAATACGAAAAAACAAAATGTGCTTAGTCGTAAATCATCTGTTAACATTTTTGTCGTGATACGATCAATAGACACCCACAATCCAGCAGCACCTGAAATAATAATAAATAAATGTATTGTGTACTAATTTAAATTATAAAATAAAAATCGTAAATATCATGTTAAATAAAGCTAACTTGGAACTTTCTACAAAAATAACTTATGGAAATTTTAGCTTCAGTGATAATTTTCTCATAGTAGATAAATCATTAAAACTGTTTTCATTTTTCAACAATAACGTGCGATTAAAAAAATTAAATTTAGTGTTAATTTTAATTTAATTCACATTAAACGTTTTAATTTGCTACAGGTTGAAAATTGTCAGTCGTTCTTAAATATTTCCAAAAATTGAGTTAAAAAAAATATTTTGTGTTTGAAGAACGCAGACTTCAGGAAGTTTTTCTTACTTTCATTTTAAAGTACTAATTTAGTATAGATTTGAAGAACGTTTCGGAACATTTTCAAAAATTAAAATGAAAAAACAATTTACACGCGTGGGTGGTCTCTTTTAAACCCTTATTGTACTTAGGTTTTTTAATTGAAATTTCAGAAATACAACTATAGAAAACTTATTGTCAAGTTTAACTAGTATTTTCTATTGGAATTGTATTAAGGAACTCAAAAAAATTATGGCAGTTTTAAATTGCAGAAAAAAATGTCATTTTTAGTTAGCGTAATTTTGAAATAATTGTCTAAATTTCTAAAACTGAGATTTTTTTTATTTCTGAAAGTGATATATATATATATATATATATATACATATATAAAGATATCAAATTTTGGTTTCTCTGGCGTATAGATCATCAAAATCGGTCAAATGCGAGTTGATAATTTTATGGAAAATCACAAAAAAAAAATCCACTTCATGGTAAAACCAATATCTTCTCGGCTTCGTATCGAAGCTAAAATATTATGTTATAAGCACAAAAATTCTTAAGTTATATTGTAATTAAGTATATTATAAAAAACATTATCATATTTTGACATTACGAACTTTCTCCTATCATGACAGCTTGTGTGTATTTAGTGGGTAGGATGCTGGTGTAACCATAAAAACTTGATTGTTGAACTAAAAAAGTCAATTTATGATTTATTCTAAAAAAGAAAATGATGCGTAGTCATTAAAGAAATAAAAACTTACTTGTCGCACCCCACGCAATAATTGCAATGGCAACCAAATTTATGCAGTAAGATGTGTTTATCGAAAATAACTCTGACCATAATATTTCAACGGCGCCCACAAATAAAAGTGTAGAAATAGTTAATGCATAACCTAAACGCAGTTAGTAAAATTACTAAGTTATTTAAAGCAAAATTATATTTTGAATCTAAATTACATGAATACATACAATTAAATAAATATTTACCAATATTAATACGGCATGTAAAGGATAACGTGTCAACCAGTAAATTGTTTGCAAGTACCGCAAAAAACGCCATAACAATATAAACTAACGTCATGTCAAAAACGACCATTGAAGATGGATATTTTACTTGAAAGTAATCCACAGCCATGACGAAACTAAGTAAAAAAGTTGCAATTAAGATAACTAATCGATTTAGATAAACGTTTCTCGAAAATTCCTTATATAGGTTTGTATTTCAATCAGTATTGTAATTTAGGAAGATATACAATTCATAATAAATAGAATATATATTTAGTCATAATAATTAGAGACAAAGTTATAAACATTTATAAATTTTGTAAAGTTATTCGACCCTTCAGTCAAATATCAGTCATTAAAAAAATTTATAATTTATAATTTATAAATTTATAATTCTGCGTTCTAGTCATAATCGTGGTATTGAAAAATTTAGTTCGTCCGCAGAAATTATTCATGAGAAAGGGCAAATATTTGGATACAGTGTCCGTTTAATAGACCCATCCAGCGTTGAAGGAGGATGATTGAGGTCCTCGTTAACAACACATTTTTGGTGGCCTTGCCATAGCTTAGCCTCCTTAGATAACTAATCGTATATATTTTTTTTACGGTAGGAAGAAAATACAATAAGCACCCCAAATATGTTATTCTAATAGGTGCCTATAGGCTTCACAGAAATAAATTTAACATAATAGATTTTTTGATAGTTTTAAATATTATTTATTTTATTTAATTAAGTGTCTAAAATTGAATAAATAAAAACCAAATCTACATGTTATTAATCTATAAAAAACAATACTTTTAATCCTAGTATTCATAATATAATTTAGTAAAAATAAAACTTGTTTTTATGCTTCAATTATAAAAAATGAATTTGCAAAATTTTATAATACACGACGTTTATGAAAATTAGGGTTCAATATATATAAATATATTACAATTCAAAAAAAAATTAAGTTGACACTTCTATAAGTTATAAAGAATGATTTTAATAAGTTATTAACAGATGATGAATATAAATATATTACTAAATTATTATTATTAGTAACTAATAATAATAATAAAAAACCAAATTTTTTTTTTTCAAATTTGTATTTATTTTACAAGTAATCAAGTTGTTTATGATAAACCGATCACTCTGTATAATACACTTTCTAACAAATCTAATATAGAGTTTTAATTTTAACTTTTAGGTATAACTTTTTAATAGAAATATTAAAAATACCTGTTATAGGGAAATAAAAAACCAGCACCGGCCAACGCCATTGCAGAATATACTCGACCCTTGTAATCTATGGGAGGTGTAGCTAAAGGACAAACGTTAGTACGTTTAGTAAGAGCCACATATCCTCTGCTTAAATTTTCATCCATTATTGCTTCTTTTAATCCGGATAATTTTACAAAAACTAAAAAATATTAAATTTTAATAATGTATTTAAAAACCTAATACATTTTAAAATATTAAGATTAACTATTCACATATCACATCCTATCGGTCAACAACAAAAATATTGACCTGCGTAATGCAGTATCGCTACCGATTTTGGACGCGCATGAACGTTACTTGGCGGCAAATCGATGGCGGGTATATAGTATCAATGTTACAAAACATTTTTCATTTTTTATTACGATAAAACAGCAGTCTACACTATATAAAAGTTATGGTAATAAATTAATTTTTTTGTTATAAATTTTCACAAAAATCAACTTTAAAGGATTAAAAAAAACTGTAGCACAGTGGAGTTAGTTATTTGATTTATAATTATAATATATAAATAAATAATAATATAGTAATTAAATTTAGTATGAAATTGATATTCAATAATTTAATATTGTAATTTTTATGGAGATATTATAAAAATAATAAAGTAGCTGTATCTTTCTTTACATTTAACGCGTATAAAAATTTAAAGGGCTTGATGTATGAACTTTTCAATAAAAAATGTTTGTTATTTATAACAAGGTTATAAGTTATATACACTGGACTACAAGGAACTTTCTTTAGAAACAAAAATATATTTTTCTAAATCAACTTTTTACGATGTTTTCAAATTCAAATTGTTTTCAATTAGACTTTTTCTATCATTTTTAAGTTTTAATATTAATAATATTATTAAAAATAAGTATTCAAATATAAAAAAATAATTAAGAACAAAAAAAAATTCTTTTAAATTAATACTGATTTTGATTATTAATGTATTAAAACTAAGAAAAACGACATATTTAACCTATTTTTTTTATCCTTTAAAGTGGATTTTTGTGAAAGTTTATAATTAAAAAAAATTTATTTATTACAATAACTTTTAGCTCAATTTGCAAGTTTGAAATTGACATCATTAAATAGGAAATTTTATTATAACTATTTATAGTAAATTTAAGAAAAGCTCAATAGATTTTTTCATTTTTATCGTAATAGATAACTTAAATAGAAATAATAGTAATCATTTCCTAGTAACTTGTGGCGTTTCAAAAGATTCTACAATTGAAATATGAACTGAATTAATTTTAATGATTTACTTTAACTAAAATAACTAATCAAAAAAAAGTTGATCAAAAGATCTAAAAATTATAGAGTTAATACCTCAAATTTAACGTATTCACTTATTAAACAATAGATATGTATAACTGTCATAATAAGTAAAAATAAAAAAACCCAGCACAGTGGAGTCGCGGCATAGTGGGGACGTTGCATAGTTGGATCCAGTATAGATTTAATCTGACAGTGATTAAAATCACTATCATAAGAAACGCTTCGATGCAAATCAGTAGATAGTGTTTAATTCTAAGAAATTGGTGGATAATTACAAAAGCTGCATGATCTGCTAGTTCCTTATTAATACCCTGATTAAGATAAAGTATGTCGAATGAAAAAGGGATTATTAAAAAATATTATTTCTCATAAAAAAATTGTGTTGATTCATACACTTTTCAATGAGTTGTAGCATTATAAAGTTAAAAATGTAACCAACCCAACCCAACATCAACTCCTATTTCCTTAATTATATCCAGATTAGTAATTCGTTTAATTATATATTATATAATTTTTATAATTAATTATTTTCAAATTATTATCGATTTTTAATATGTTAAAAGTAATCATTTTGAACCAACTTCTTTTTGTCCTTTAAAGTGAAAGTTTTAATAAAAAAAAAAATGAATTTATTACCATAACTTTTAACTCAACTTGCAAGTTTGAAATAGATATTATTAAATAGAAAAAAATGAAATTGGTAGATTATTTCAAAAACAACAATAACACTTATTCCCTTAATTTTACCCCGATTTATAACTATAATATATGAATACATAATAATTACAGTAATTAAATTGAGTATGAAAGTGGTATTCAATAATATAATATTGTAATTTTTACGGAGATATTATAAAAATAAAAAGGAGTTGTATATTCATATACTTTTAATGCGTATACAAATTTAAAGGAATTTATGCAATACTTTTTAATAAAAAAATTTTGTTACTTATGAATAAATACACTAAACAAAAGGAACTTTCATCAGAAAAAAAATATACTTTTCTAAATAAACTTTTCGTGATGTTTTCAAATGTGCAATTAAACTTTTTCTATTACTTCTAAGTTTTAATATTATTACTTATTATTAAAAAATAAGTATTTACATATAAAAAAAAATAATTAAGAACAAAAAAAATTGTATTAAATTAATACTGATTTTGATTTTTAATATGTTAAAGGTAATCATTTTGAACCTATTTTTTATTGTCTTTTAAAGTGAAAGTTTTAATGAAAAATACCTTCTCAGCTTCGCATCGAAGCTAAAAAATGAATTTGTTACCATAACTTATAGTTCAACTTGCAAGTTTGAAATTGACATTATTAAATTGAAAAAAATGAAATTTTTAAGATTAATATGCAATCTGGAAATTTTATAATTACTAATTACAGTACATTTGTCAGAAAAATTCGATTTTTTTACATTTTTATCGTAATAGATAACTGAAATAGAAAGAATAGTAATCATATCCTAATAACTTTTGGTGTTTAAAAAAATTCTGCAATTGAAATATTCAGAACTTAATTAATTTTAATAATTTACTTTAATTAAATGAACCAATCAAACCAAAGTAGTTAAAAAGATTTACTCAATTGAGCATATTATCAAAAATATAATTATAATTGTAAAACTCCATCGTTAACTTCAGGTGAAACTAAAAATCATTTTTTTTTTAAATTTATGATTTATATAGCAACATATTACTAAAAAATTTGGCATATTATAGACTGGTAGTAGCACACAGAAATAGAGTTAAAAAATTAATAAATTATAAAGTAAAATTATTTACTTTTGTAGTTGAATACTTTTATCATATCAAATTTAATTCGACAATAAATAATTTAAGAATATTAAAAATTAATGATTTTAATTGTTTGTATGGACAAATCTAGTTAAGCTACTTTTTATTTGAATAAGGAATATTTTTTTGATTTTTAAGAGTAATAACTTAAACTAATCATTAACTTAAATATCATAAACTTAAATGAATCATTTGACGTATCGTTGAAAAAAGTAGGTCTAGTGAGGGTTGGCAAAATAAATCGTAGCCAGAAAAAGAACCACATAGTAAAATAATATTAACATGAATATCAATTTCTTCTCACGAGGGGAGACTATAGTGATAAGATCCTTTATATTTATTGAAATTATTGAATCTAAATGAGATAAATATCAAATGATTTGAAAATTCTATTTTAACTCAAAAAAAAAAATGCAAAATTTTATAAGCCACAAACGGATTTGCACCTCGTACCCTAACGTTAAAGATCAAGGTGTTACCCATTCGGCAACTATTCGTTGATTTTTGTTGCATGATAAAATTGGCTATTTAAGCTAACTCAAATTTAAAAATTACTTTTTCGACTATAAAAAAGTAAAAAAATTTTAATAAGTATAATTTCATATGTCTTATGAACTTTATTCTATGTCAATGATATTATATAATATTCATGAAAGTCAGTTTATTCCCCTAATAAGATATTTTAAAATAAAATAAAATACAAAACCCAGAATTTTAATAAAAAAATAGCATATTTTTGAATACGATAGCCATTTGCGCATAGAAGATAGATCGTCGTGACAAATTTTTGTTTTTAATTTTATAGTACATGACATAAGCTTTAATTTTACATATGTTTAAAGGACGCAGTATTTCGGGAAAATTTTCAAAAATTAAGTTGAAAAAGTTAGTTTTTGTAAAAAAGTTTTTTATTTTTAATCCCCTTTGTGAGCAGAATAAGTGTTAGATTTTCAAAAAAAATGATATCAAATGAAAGGGAAATATCTAAGGTTTTAGTATAAAAAAAAATTATGTAGATTTGTAGATTTTTGAAAAAGTTATGGAAGTTTTAAGAAAAAAAAGTGAAAAAAATGACATAATTTATCAATTATTAAATTTGTAATTTTTTTGGACATTTCCCCTATTTGCGGGGAACGAGGGAAAATTTTTCAATTTTTAAGGGTAATGTCTTCAACTAGATACGATTTGTGATCTTTTGACGTATTGTTGAAAGAAATCGGTCTAGTGAGAGCTGAGAAAAAGTGGCAACAGACATAAAAAAAAAAGAAAAACGCACATCATGGTAAAATTAATACCTTCTCAACTTCGCATCGAAGCTAAAAAAAAACTCAGCTCAATAGGAACGTAGCATAGTTGGGTCCAGTATAGATGATATCTAGCACTGATTAAAATCACTATCATAACAAACTCTTCGATGCAAATCTGAAGATAGAGTTTAATTTTAAAAATTGGTGGATTATTCCAAAAGCAACATCATATCCTATTTTTTTATTTATATCCTGATTACAAGTTATATGATTTATAAGTGTAATATATGAATAAATATTTATTATAGAAATAAAATATAGTATAAAATTGATATATAATAATTTAATATTGTAATTTTTTACAAAAATCGTATTTTTTTATTAACTTTGATGTCCATTTTCACCATAAAAACAAAACAAAGTCCGAAATTTGTTTTTTAATATTAAATTATATTACATAAGCTTTAATTTAAGATTTATAAAAAAGTGTTCGTATTTCTGGAACACTTTCAAAAATAAAGTTATCATTTTGAATCTCCCCTTGTTGGTAGGTGAAGGGTCAGATTTATAAAAAAATATATAAAATGATAGGTAAATACCTCACGAATCTAAAAAAATTATATTGATTTGGTTATTTTTAAAAAGTTATGGCAGTTTTAAGTAAAAAAACTTTTAAAAAGTTGGTAACACTTGTGTCTTTCATGTTAACGGTACGAGGTTTAAATCCCCCTCCGATCAAATCAATATTTTGCATTTTTTTTGAGTTAGAATAAAATGTTCAAATCATTTGATATTTATCTCATTTAGATTCAATAACTTCAATAAATATAAAGGATCCTATCACTATAGTCTCCCCTCGTGAGAAGAAATTTATATTCATGTTAATATTATTTTACTATGTGGTTCTTTTTGTGGCTACGATTTATTTATTTTTTTTATTAAAACTTTCACTTTAAATGACAATAAAAAGTAGGTTCAAAATGATTACTTTTAACATATTAAAAATCAAAATTAATAATAATTTGAAACACAATTAATTTTAAAAATTATATAATATATAATTAAAAGAATTACTAATCTGGGTATAATTAAGGTAATAGAAGTTGATGTTGCTTTTGCAATTATCCATCAATTTTTTAAAATTAAACACTATCTACAGATTTGCATCGAAGCGTTTTTTATGATAGTGATTTTAATCACTGTCAGATTAAATCTATACTGGACCCAACTATGCAACGTCTCCACTATGCCGCGACCCCACTGTGCTGAGTTTTTTAACCTAGGATCTAAGAACATCGCTTTGGATAAAGCTAAATTTTCTTTTATTACATCACCAAATCTACTGATTAAATTAACATAAAAAACAAATCATTTTATAACTTTGTGCAAGTAAACAGTGCTGAATATGGAATCTTTTTTTTTTTTGGTTCTTTTCATTATGACAGTAATTATAGTAATTATAGTCCCTCATTATAAAAAAAAGTTAAACATTTTATCAGCAATTTATCTATTCAGGGTTAATACCGTTATATTGTAATCAATTGATAAGGTGTATTAAGTATATTTTTCTATGGATTAAGGTATCGCCAATTGTCAGTATATTTTGTGACTTGCAAATAGTATTTTAGAACAATAAAACTATCGAGAAACTTACGTAGGGAATCGTTACGATACATTACTCCTACGAACTCGCACAGTATGAGTCGTTCCAATCTATATGAAAATAATATTAGTGTTCGTACCAAAAGAACGATTCGTTCGTAAACGACCCACCACTAAATTAGTTATAGATTTAGTAAACGATTGAAAGGTAAATTCTACAAGACTGTAATAAGGCCAGATATGATGTATGGTTCATAGTATTGGGCGGTTGATAAAAAAGTAGAGCAGAGAATGAGTGTAGCAGAGATGAGAATGCTTAGATGGATGAGTGGAGTGACTAGAAAAGATAGAATAAGGAACGAGCATATAAGATGGAGTATAAGTATAGCGTTAATCGTGGATAAGATGAAAGAAAATAGACTTAGATGGTTTGGTCATGTTATGAGGAGAGAAGAATCGAAAGCTGTAAGAACAGTTAAAGAAATGAATGTTGAAGGAAGAAGAGGTAGAGGAAGATCAAAAAAGAGATGGAGGGATGCTATTGAATGCGATTTGAGGACAGCTGATGTGAGCATAAATGATGCGGGAGATCGTGTCAAGTGGAAGTTTAGGATAAGGGTGGTCGACCCCAAGTAGTTGGGATTAAGGTAAGGAAGAAGAAGATATAATAAACGATTGTCGAGTTGTTACCATGAATGATATGATAATTAACCATTCAGTATATTATGCGAGTTAAGAGCACTAAATAAACTTGTTATTTGAATGAAAAATTGCATGAGTGATTACTTTTGCCTATCGAACTACCAAGTAAAGTATACGGTAGTTTTTAATGAAAAGACTATCGAGCTACCAGATAAAATTGGGTAGTTCGATGTCTAAAATTATTTATCAATAAAATCAAGTATCAGTTGTGGATAATAGCAATCGAAGATATACTCAGTAGTTAAAACTATTCGATAGTGCTCATAATAATATATTAACCGTATATTTAACTAATAAGTTATATTCATATATCAGTAATATTAATTTTAACCTTGGGTGTGCAACAAATGTTATCGAATCAGCTGTTTTTTAAAATGTTTGTGTGGCGCATCCCGATGATTGCTGTAGAGAGCGTATTTGCTGATAATATACCATCGAACGGAAGAACAGACGTCAATATTGTTATTCACGTTAGTATACCAGCATTAAAGTGATTAATATTGATCCATCTATTGCGTTCTCAGCTATTAACAAACAATTAAATTGAATTATGCAATTAGCATAGAATTTCTTAGTATTTTATGACATTATTGGATTTTTTCAAGTGAAAGTTAATCTATAAAGTTATATAATCGCATTGTTATATACATACAGAAGAAGAACGAATTATGTCGCTGAACACGGCACACGTACAAGGAGGAAGCTGTTTAATTCATGCTGGTGAATGGTGGGTTCGAAAGTTTCTTATTATCATAGTATCATAATTGTAGATATTAATATCAAACTTCAACTTTTGTCATTAACAAATTTTAGTTTCATGTAGTCCAGAGAGTGAAATGTATCAAACTGAACTTTACTGTTGGTTATTAGGTAGAAGTTACTAATATAGAATATTCTAGATCATTCCATAATAATCAATAATTTTAAAAATGTTTAGGGCTTTGTTTATCTCTTCTTAGGTACTTATATAATATAAATTTCATTAAAAAAAATTTTTCTTAAGAATCTTATTCATAGTGTGTATTAATATAAAAATGTAACTTCTGTTATTTAAATTATTGATTTCTATTTTTAATATCTACAATTTTTATGACTTTTGTTTGTATTTTTTACTTTTTTCTAATTAATAGTTATATGTAAAATTAAAATTATATGAAAACGTAAATATATTATATTTATATTTTGTTACCTTGGAGACCTGAGTTTTATACTCATTATATTTTGAATACTCTATAAACATAAACATTAAACAATTTATATTAAGTATTAATTAATCATAGGTATTATTCATAATTTTTTTATAGTTGTATAAATTGACAATTCTTAAATTAAATATTGATTAATTAAGTAAGGTAGCAAATATAAAAACAAATTAAATCATACTGTTTGTTTTGTATTTTAATTTTTTGAGTTTTTTTACATATTTCAAATAGAAATTTACAATAAAGATCTCAATTCAACCTAAAATATAATGAAAAGAGACATTTCTATAATTTAAAACATCCTTGCATGTTAAAATCATTGTGCACAGTGATTTTTCCAGCAGTAGCTAAAAGAGCTAAAACCGCCTTCATTGGCCATATTTTAGATAAAATGTCATCTAATAAAAGCTGACTATCTCTTTGAAACTAATTTTCCCTCCCTATTGATAAATCCTGGATACGTCACTTGTTGTACAAATAATTTCTACTATTTTATACAATTAATACAGTTAATATGAACTTTTAATTCTATTTATCCCTTGTATATTAAATTGTATTTATTAACAAAATATCTGATATTCAATTGTTTGTTGTTTTCAGCATTATTTTATTTACTGATGCAGTAACAATAGACTTTCATGGCCAAGATGGAAGAGCATTTCATGGTTCAAAAATCGGAAAAGTCTTTCTTACCACTCACCGTTTGATTTTTATTAACAAATCAGACAAGGATGAGTTATTATCATTCAGTATGCCTTTTGTCACTCTTAAAGATGTAATATAAAGTAATTTGTGATTATTTGTTGTACATTAATTAATTGTTGAACATTTATTTATTTTAGGTGGAGTTAGAACAACCTGTTTTTGGTTCGAACTATATAAAAGGTAAAGTCCGAGCTCAACCGAATGGAAACTGGGTTGGTGAAGCAAAATTCAAACTAGTTTTTAAAAAAGGTGGTGCTATTGATTTTGGACAGGCAATGTTAAGAGCTGCATCTATGGGTATGGAATTTAATTGTTATCTTAAACTGTATATTATGTAATAATTATGAAGACCAATCTTCCAATAGTCTCTAAAAATTGAGTGTAAAACACTCAATGTGCTCAATAGTGCTTGTTTAATTTCTGTGTGTTAATTTTTTCTGTTTAAATATATATTATATATTATAATAAGTATATTTATTGAATAGTTATCATTTATTTGTGTAGCGAGCAGTAATTTTCCTCAAACGGATAATCCACCACCATATGTTCCACCACAAGGGCCATATTACATGGCTGATGTACCTTATGGTGTACCTCCTCCTGGTTACTATGGATGGATGCCTTCTACTGCAGCTTTTCCAGATGCACCACCACGTAAGTATTTTGCATATTTATGTACTATACCTTATTAAAAAAAAATTACAAAATTTTCATTATCATCATTTAATATATCCATTATCATCATCTTTTAATATCTATATGTATTGTAAAAAATTATTATTGAATCAGTTAATTTAAATTTAATCTAATTTATACAAAGCATAAAATTATAATATCTATTTAATCCATAATTAAGTAATCATTTGCTTCAAACCTATTTATTGCAAGTTACAACAAATATATGTAGTTTTTAATAACACAACTAATAGAATCAAAAGATATAAACTTCTCATGATCTCTTGAAATCAATTTTTTTTTCAATCGAGGTCATAAATAAAATTATAGGCAATTAACTACATAAAGCGTATTGTTAATTAAAATGTTTATAAATTGAACATAACTAACGTTTTTTAATTTCCTGAAAAGTCATATTTTCTTTACATATTAAAAGTAGGGTTATGGCTATTAAAATAATGGTTTATTTATTTATGATATTTTCCAAATAATATTTTATTTAAGACCAAATCAATATTTTGTTTGTTTAAGCTAATAAGTATTTTTTTTTATATCTAGCACAATCTGTATACAGAACAGATATGCCTCCTCCATATCCAGGTATTATAGGATTTTCAAATAATCCAGGATATGCTAGTGCCCCACCAGCACAATCAGCTCCTCAGCCACAACAATTGAATGGACAAGGTATAAACCAATATTTGTTTTTATATAAAAAAATTAATTAGTATTTTATTGAAATTAATAAAAACAATATACTTAAAAAAATACATTTATAGAGGAAAATTAAAAAAACTGAATAGAGTGTATTTTATGTCTATCTGAATCAATTTTCTATTTTTATTATGCTTAGTAAAGTAAGAAATTAAATTTAAGATTTTGATTTCTTCATTTTGAACAACTAATTCTTATTTAGACTATAGATCCCAGCCAACTGGCAATATTCTGCTAAAATTTCCCACTCAGTATTTATTTAAAAAAAGTCTTTAAAAAATAGATTTTTGATCTATCTTCTATCAAAAATATTTGAATAAAAATAAAATGAGTGGAGAAAAAATAACCCTCTATTAATTCAATACTACTTTGTTATTTGTAAAATAAAATTTGTTGACATACATTACTGAATAATAATCATAAAGTTACATTACATTTAATGATATGAAAAGTAATATATATATTTAATTGTTTGTTTAAAAGTAACAGATGCATAATATTTACAGATTTAAAAGCAGCTGAAGCAGCTCAAAGTGCCTATTTTGATCCCAACAGACCACAAATGGCATATGTTCCACCACCTTCATATTATGTACGTTCAATTAATTAAAAAAATTATGTATTTAAATTATATCAATTTCAAAATGCTGATATGTCAATGTTTGTCATTTTTCAGGATAATAAAAAAAATAAAAAAATTTCAATAGTGTATTATGCAAATTGATATTTTTAAAATGTAAAAAATCAACTTCCTTATTAAAGTTAAATTGTAATTTTTTGGAATTTGAATGAATGCATTTTCGTCTGTAAATGTGTTAATCTCAAACCCCATTTTTGATATTAGTTTTTTTATACAAGCCATAGATATCTAATTAACCATTAAGCTTTTTCAATAAAAATCTACTTATCCCAACGTAACAAATTCAAACCTTGTTACTTGCATATTATTGCATAACACTTATTTGACTGAACTACATAGACTTTTTAACATGAATTAATTATAAAAAAAATTGTTTTGGTTCATTTACTTATTTATTTTAGTAAAAATGTTTTCTAATTTTTTAATTTTCAATAAATGTTTTTAACGTTACAGGAACTCCCTCCACCATATAAAGAAACCGAAAACAAGAAAAATGATTAAAGCTAACTTAAATGAAATCTGCTATTTAAGTATTTTCCAAAGGTTATTTTGTGAAATTTTATTGTTTTAATATTAGTATACTATATGTAAAATATATAATTAAATGAAAGTTATATATCATTGAAGTTTAAAGTATCATAAGTAATTTTTAAAAATGTGATTTTTCTTGTGTAATTTAATCAGTGTTAACTTATCTTAGTCAATATGGGAATAATTACCAATACGATTATTATTGTGAATATTTTAAAAAGCAGCAATAACTTATTTTATTTTTTCTGTTGGTTTTTATTTGTATTAGGAGATACTAAAAGAAGAATGATATACTTTATTACTAAATTTAAGTATATACTTTAATGTAGAATAGATTTTAAATATACATATAACAATTTTTGCATTCCATACATCATATTAACAATGATGTAATTTTTTAAATCAGTTTTCAATTTATTTTTAGATATATTTTAAAAGTTATTCTTACAGTATAATACTGTAGTAAAGCATGTATAACAATGTGTCATTTTAAATTCATCACGCCAGAAATATTTTAAAGTAAATATTTTAATTATTTTATTGTAAATGTGCGATGATGTAGTTAATCATATATTTTAAATATTTATAGTATTTTTTGTTATTACAACAGCTTTATATTAGCTAAAATTATACTTTCAATAATAATATTTGTAAATGAGCCAATTTTATTTTTTCATAAGTTTACTAAAAATATTGAACTATTTTTATATGTTTGTTTAGTTTTATATTTCACCATTTCTTCTAAAAAATAAAAATGTTTCCTTTAAGATGTGTTTTTTTTTATTCATAAAGTTAAAAATGATCCTTATTTGAGCAAAAAAATATCACTCAACTACACATTTTTAAAATAAATATTTTAATACTAAATATATAAACTTTTTTCAATATGTATACTTTTTCATACATCTCTACAAAGTTTAAATTCAACATTTTATTGAAACGATATCATTTTTTATAAAAAACGTTGATTATTGATAAACAAAATTAATATTTTAGTTTGCTTGTTAAGTATAGTAACTTAAAGCATCCCTAATTTGGATGAAAGTGCTGTGAAATTTGTTGTGGTCATAGTCTTCAAACATGATTAGTTTATTATTTCTGTTCAAAAATTAAAATTATACACCAAGTATATTATAAGTAATTAAAAAAAAGTGAAATTATATAAAAAAAAAAATTAGTTTATCTTTTTTTTTTTTTAAATTTTTATGTTTGACATGTCATGGTTTTTTTAAGATTCTGGAAAGTATGTTTTAATTACTTTAATAATGTTTAGAGTTAATTTAAATACAGATAAATTTATTTTCGTTAATTTTAACAGATTATTTATCAAACATAATTTCCACAAATTGGTTAATGTATAATGACGGCCGCCCTTACCTTATTTTCAATTTTATTCTAAATATTAAATAAACAATTTTTATTTTTGATGACGCATTATGCTATTAAAAAATAAAATACAAATATTATTTTTATTTTTATCTATATCTGTTTTAAGTAGTTCTTTATTAAGATTATCTCAAACAAAAAATAAAGTAAAATTAAATTAAATTGTAACTATTTTACCAAAATTGTTATTGTATGGGTTGGTCTAATAGCAAAGGTTTTCAATTAAGTTCTATGACATGCGATTTATTATTTTTTAAAGTACATACGATTTTAAAAACACTTTTCCAATTGTCTATAAACTAGTTATTATAAGCTTATTTTTGCAATGGCTCAGTTATTTAAGGGTTTAGTTGTGAAGTATTTCAAATTACTTGAATTGAATACAGCATTATGTATTACTTCTGTTTACAGGACATTCAACCAAAATTATAATTTGTGTACATTAATTTACACTGAGACTAAAATTATTAATATTAAATCAAAAAATATTCTTTATAACGCTATATTTGAAAAAAAAAACTATTTAAAAGGAGGATAACCAGGATATGGGGATTGCCACAAACTGATAAATGTGTCCGGTATTCATATACTATGACATTGTAAAACAATCATCCAAATACATTTACTCAAACAAAAATTACTGCGAATACCTAGTTACAAAAATTTGGATTGTACTACGACGATAATTATATCCGAATAAAACAATTAATTCATTGCTCCGAATAAAATTTACACCAAATATCGATTAATCGTGAAATTTATTAATAAAATTATGAAATTTGGGAGTAGATATATATCGTATCAATATAAATAATTAACGTAAAATTGTGTTAAAATTGTTTGCTATCTATTAACAAATAATTGTTAATAGTCGAAGTGTATCCGACTTTCGAAACAATAGATATTTTAGAGTAAGAAAGAGAACTTCAAACTAAAACAACCCAATTATATAATTGGTGTGAGCCCTCAAAAAGTTATTTTTTTTAAAAGGGGAGAGGATAGTGATTCAAATTTTCGTCTTTTTTGTCTCTCCTTATTAGCGCCTATTATTATAACTTCTAAAGTTTTATTAGTTATCGTTTCACATTTATTAATTGATAAAAAAAATATAGAGGGTAAATAATATAAATATAAAATATGTGTCACTAAATGATAGGATTCTGCATTAAACAGATGTTTTATAAGAGTATTCAGTATCCCATTCTCTAAAACTGTAATTTCAATTAGTTCTGTATTAAATCAAACAAAAATATAAAACTTAATATTATTTCATTGTGTAAAGGTGGATAAGTCAATGAAATTAATTTAATCCAGTCTGAATTCGATCTTATGATTGATCGCAAAATTGAAGGAGTCTGGTCTTCTAAAATTCGTGACAATATATAGTACGAAATGCAATTCTAATTTATTATAAGTTATTAGCAGCTAAATAAAATTTGTTTGAAAGGAAGGTAATCCTCTTAGCATTTTTTTTAAATGTTTCTTGGACGCTTATTAATATAAGAAAACACATCTTAAAAATATTTATATTTAACAACACCGTTATATGTTTAGTATTATTTAAACCAGCGATTTTTACATGAAAAAATAATATTTTGTTTAACTTATTGGATATTTACATAATGAAGGTAAGTTCAATCTTCTCTGCTTCTCTCAAAAGCTTAAAATATATTTTTACTCCTTCCTAATTTTTTTTAAATGTATTAAATTAATTTGTTTATTAAATCAAAACCAATCATTTAATTGAGCAAAAAATACTTATAGAAAGTAGAATTGTCGTTGTTTTTACTGTATTACCTTTAACCATAATTGTGTTATTTTCATCTAAATTAAAACAAATATGCGTTATTCGTTATAATTATTGCAGCGATTTATTTTAAACTAGTAATGTGTACCATACTATAACTAATCTGAGGAAAAACAACTTTAGCTACGGTTTTTAAATAATAAGCTAGTGCTAGCTAGTTAAATAATGAAAACAACTAGACTAATTATCTCATTCGTGTTAAAATTAACTTCATTGAATAAAGTAATTAAATATGGACTAGTTATATCTATTTGTTAGAGTGTGGTCGTAAAATCAATGCATTTAAATTGTGACTAATAAATGACTAATACAAAAGTTTCATTTATCTCGTTTTCATTAGAGAGGAACAATGTTTTTTGTTTTGGTTAACGCTATTGTTTTTTCAATATAGAGTGAAATATGAAATGTTAGTCAACAAGATTGGATTAGATTTGTTTTAAAAATGACTTGTTTGTTTTTTCGCTTTTTTATTTCACGTTTATCTAATCATTGCAAATATGTACATTATCCTGAGCTATTCCTTATGTGTTTGTCTTAGTCATTTAGTATCCTTTTACGTTGATCAATACCGTTTGAATTGACAAAATGGGATCGGTTTTATTAGTTACACTTTTCTACGTACTTCAAATCATATGTCTAATCTCTAGAGAGCGTTTTGTAACGTTTGGTTGAATTTATTTAAAATTATTAAAAACCCTATGTTATGCAAGTTTATTTATTTTTGTGTCTTTTTTTTTTAGGTAAATATATTTTTTATTATCTAGTATCTCGTAATATAAAAATAATTGACAATTTAATTGAAGAAAAAATATTTTCCTCGTACGTTTTAAAATAAACAATTTTATTTTTCATAATGAAATTTACAGTATCAAACTAACAGTATTTTTAAAGTTTGCAAGTTAATAGCATTTTTCTCTGTTATTTTTTTTTGAGTAAGATGGGTTTTTACAAATGCTTCTCATTTAATTATTTTATAATGATTACATTTCGAATAAAATAGTCAGGAATAAAAATAAGAAATTTAATACAAAATATTTTATTATAAATTATAAAAATATTATGACTATAAATAATACACAAATAATGTCAAATTTGTAATTATTCTGTAGATCGAACAGTTAATTGTTAAAATTCTAATTTTAATAAAAATGATCATTATGAAAATCGAATAAATAAAATATTAACCTACTTGTTTCATCATAACATCAAATAAAAACGGCTTTAAGTATTATTTATTTTAAATGAGTTGTTTTTTATTTTATTAAACAAAACTCACAGTGGTAATTCTTAAATTTTAAGTTAAATATATATTGATAATTAAGTCCTAAAACATTCTATTATAGCCTAAATATATTTACTATGTAAATTATTTAAGTAATTTTTTTTGAGAAATAATTTTAAAAATTCTCTTGAAATAAGTACAATGGTTTAAAAAGATTAAAAATCATTAAATTTATCAATATGGGATTAATTAAATTTTATATGAAATAAAATAAGTACAGTAAATAAAAATTATGTTTATAAAATAAATGAACTATGCATTTAATTTTTTTTTTAATATTCTCTTTAACTGTATATTTAGAATCTATAGAATAAGTAAATTTGTTAAAGTAATTGATCACTTGAATAGAATGAATAATTAGTTCACATTGGAAACCCCTCACAATAAAAATAAAGTATTTACATTGTTAGTTAAGATTAATAAATTTAAAGATTTTTTTTTTTTTATTTATCCCCGTTTAAATTTAAACATTAAGAATAAATTAAAGAAGCGTTCATATAAGTTAAATTCACGAGTATATAATTTGAACTTTGTGGGAGCTTTGGTAGAAAATTATAACGTACAAGTCACAGGAAATAAATAAAATTAGTTGAGATCTTTTATACGTCCTTGTTTTTTGTACACTATATGTCTTATATCAAACTTAAAAATAATTTGTCAAAACGTAACAATCATAAAAACTTTTGGCAACCTTCATAAAACGTCTCGCGTTTGTCATAAATAAATTCCTTCTTCCTTAAAAAAATGAATTTTTTGCTGGAAAAATAACACAAAGACTTTTTTTAAATAAATAATTTAGAAACAAAAATATTTCCCTCAAAACTTTTTAAAACATTAAATATGTTTAAACATTTTTCATGCAAAAAATTTTCATAATAATTTTGATGTTCAGAATTAGCAAGACATTATAATATGTGACACCTTTGATAATATCGAGTAACAATTCTTGACATATACTCCTATTGTTATTGACATGCCAAACACTTTTGAGTGTAAATCATACATATTTTTAGTGTTTCAAAAGCAAATGTCACAGTCTTGAAACTAAAAATATTAAGGAAATACTTTAGGAAACTTTTACTTGGACCATATATAACATTTTATCTTATTTTGTATTCATTTCAATAGTAGATTCGTGTTATAAAACAGGAATAGTTTAAGACTTTATACTTGAAACTGTTAATTAAACATTTGAAAACGAAAAGTGTTTCATGTTGTGGTATAATAAATGAAATTTTTTCTATGTATGAAGGTGTCTTTAGTTCAAGAATATATGAGGTAGTCTAATGAAA